ATATCGGGGGTTTGTTCTAAGTTAATAACCTCAGATATTCAGGGGGCTTGTTCTAAGTTAATAACCTCAGATATTCAGGGGTCTTGTTCTAAGTTAATAACCTCAGATATTCAGGGGCCTTGTTCTAAGTTAATAACCTCAGATATCGGGGGTTTGTTCTAAGTTAATAACCTCATATATTCAGGGGGCTTGTTCTAAGTTAATAACCTCAGATATTCGGGGGCCTTGTTCTAAGTTAATAACCTCAGATATTCAGGGGGCTTGTTCTGAGCTAATAACCTCCGATATTCAGGGGGTTTGTTCTGAGTTAATAACCCCATATGTTGAGGGATTAGTTCTGAGTTAATAACTGAAGATGTAGGGGGGGTTTCTTCTGCATTAATAACCGCAGATATGGAGGGGAGAGGGGAAGGGTTAATAACTGCAGATATGGGGAGTTAGTGCTGTTCTAAGTTAATAACCGCTGATATCTGGGATTTGTTCTGAGCTAATAACTACAGTTGTCTGGGTTGTTACAGTGCCAATATGTGGCTATTGTATGTAAAGCTACAACAACATTTTATATAAGTTTTCATTAAGTATGTTTTATAGTCTTTGAATACTGGTGATAAATACATTTCAGGTGAGGAATACTGAACATCAGTCATTCCGATGGTTATATTATGGACTTGTTTCTAAAATGGTTGTATTAAAGCAAAATTGCACAAAACATTTTCCTAAAGAAAATTATTGAATTGGCTGTAATAATTGATCTCAATGATGGCATTCCGGGGACCAGAGCTGCAAGGGAGAAAAGGGAAATGTAAGTAAAATCCCCATTTTAGACCTTGCAGCATAGGTCCTAGTCACCAAAACAGTGGCTAGGGCATCATATTTGTATTCTTAATTCTATTGCGTTTAAATATAAGTATATTACATAGTTACATGGATACATAGTTACATAGGCTGAAAAAAGACATGCGTCTATTAAGTTCAGCCTTTCTTACACGGTTTTATGCTATTAATCCAAAAGAAGGCTTAAAAACACAGTTTGAAGCACTTTCCAATTTTGTAAACTAGGGAAAAATCCTTCTTGACCCAAGAATGGCAGTCGGATCTCTCCTTGAATTAAGAAGCTATTACCCCACATATTACTCTGTGTATTATGTTTTTGCAAAAATTCATCCAGTTGCTGTTTACACATCTATACAGACTACGATAAAACCACCTCTTCAGGCAGAGAGTTCCACATCCTTTTGGTTCTTACTGTAAAAAAACAACAACCTTTCTTTTGCCTTAGACTAAATCTCCTTTCTTCCACTCTAAATGGGTGAGTGCCAGATCAGTTGTAGATCAATTAATGTTGACAAAACAACATATTTGCGTGAGTCCTACAAAAGTCGCACCTTACACAGTGTCACAGACCATTTAGACTCTGAGGTTTTAAAGACAGAGGCTACTACAGTTAAAAACATATATCTCTTCATTAGAAGATCCATCATTTAACAATATGAATTTTGAGATTTTCTCTAGGGTTCAATCTGGGATCTGTTTAGGATCACATTTAAAGACTTATTTAAAAAGCCGGGGGATATTGTTGTTAGTCGAAGTCTGCTCAGTTATACATCTGTGCTCATTAAGGTGGTCTGTAAATGTAAACTATATGTTTATATAAACAAAGGTTACAAATCAGAAGATATTTAGAGTAGATGGAAATGTGAACACTAATCAGATATCTTACATTTTGTGTTGAGATTTTGGCACACACAAAACATTTGAAATGCATTCAACACTATATGCCACAATTAATTTGACTTGAAGAATATGACATTTATTTATAAATCTCATGCTGACTGTATTCAATTCTTTATATTCCTATCACACTAAATATACGACACAAAATTATTTAATGGAAATGGAGCTTTTGCACACGAATACATGAAATAATGGAATGGGGCTGTATTGGTTTTGGTGTTTGGAGTGTTCCCTTAATAAGTAACGGTTCATCCATAATCCTAACACAGAAAATGAGAATGCTCCCAGTTACTAGTTATAAAACCAAACCCAGTAAATACAATATTGTGCTCAAAGAGGATATGGTGCCCATTGTGGTCCATTCATTTTGAAGTTAAATAGAAATACTAAAGAAAGGTAATCAAGTTACAACAATAGAAAATACTGGAGAAAATACTGCCAAATTATAAAAACCAAAATAAATCACATTCAAATAGTCTTGGATATGCTATAAGACATCTCACAGGCCTCTCCCCCCCCCCCCCCTTTGGACCAGGGGGGGGGTCATCCCGGTCTCCATTGGAGGATACCATTGCAGTCCTCGACGAAACCTGCAGGGCGAACTCCAAATGCCCCAAACCTAAAATGGCCACGGCACCCAGAGAAACCCCTCGCTACCAACAAGGGGACTGAGTGAACCCCTGGCCCCAGCAACACCTGTAACCAGCTACCAGATTCTACCTACCCATGCCTTGAGCCAGGTGATATGGCATGACACTCTGGAGGGAGGCCCAACGGCACCAGGCAGCCACCAGCCTAATCCCTGGCAAGGTCGGGAGCAGCAGCTCATCTACCGAGCTGGGAACGCATGAGACACACATCCAGCTCCTGGTCAGCCAACCACCCACTAATCCACATCCGAGCTCAAGACTGGGAGAGAGCAGAGATAGCACAACATGATTAACATGGGGCATGGAAGAACAGCTCGTCGGCTGACCACCTTGTCTTCCAGAAACACTCAACTACCTACCTGAATTGGTGTCTGCGCCCAGTGGACATACTCACAAGCTCTCAAATGCACACTCTGGTTGTATTAATCGAACTTAGGTTCATCTGGTTAGCCCTTCTTATATTTGATTTTTCCACGAGCAAGGGGCACAGGAGGTTCAAACCTGTTTTTTTTTAAGTTTTCTCTTGGTATTATCTATACAGTGTGTGGTACCCAGTGGAATATTAGCCTATATTAGCATGTTAACCTAATCTGATACTTACTCATACCTCCATGTCTGGATAGTTATGCAAGTCTGAAAACTAAATGTATGCATTTTTAGTTACCTCTCTTATGCTAGCTTATGTTCTGATCTCTAATAGCTAGACTTGACTTTATAGCCTAAACGTACTTTCATTAAAAAATGTGCAGATACTCTAAAAAATGATGCACTAACATCCACAGTTGAAATAACGAATGGTACCCAGCAGGATTGCCCATTGTCCATCCTTATGTTTGTTTTGACCCTTGGACTCCTATTAGCTGCAGTCCGCTGAATTCCAATATATTAGGAATTTGTCTATGTGGAGCTGAGCATTAGGTTTCGGTATAAAATGGGATTGGGCGCATACCCGGATCATACATTCCTCAGCACTAATGCGGTTTTAAAGACCAAAATTTATACAAAATACAGATTAAAGGGACACTATAGTCACCAGAACAATTACAGTTTAACGTAATAGAATTTATTTTGCGAAAACTGGTTACATTTACTATAAGTAACACCGTCACTTTAAACCGAAATGTATGATTACTTTTCAGGGCACTTTGATAAATCTCCTACAATTGCCTTGATTTAACAAGCTTTCCAAATGATTCAACACTGCTAGAAAAACTTTTCAAATGATTTATCTACAAAAATTCCCATAGACTTTAATGGTGACTTCTGTAGACAAATCATTTGGAATGCTTTTTGAACAGTATTGAATTATTTGGAAAGCTTCTAAATCGAGGCCAATGTTTCAAACTAGGAATAAAGTCCCTCACTAAAGCACGTAGATCATACCTCCCAACTGGCCCTATTTGGGAGGGATAGTTCCTATTTTGAGTCAAAATCCCTATGTCCCTTTTTCTATTATAATAACCCTCTTTTCTAAAAGTTTGATATTCTTAGGGTGTCTGAATATAGAACAGAGCTCCACAGCAATAATACTGTGTCTTTAAACTACAATAAATGTGTTTAGAAACTAGTCTGTGAAAATAGGAGACGTTGTTCATATTCTAAATTTCATTTTAGTTCCATAAATTATTAGTAAGTCACCTAAAATGTTAAATATTGGGAATCATGCATAGAGGCAGCAAAGTACCATGTACTTCAGCCATTACTAATGGGTTAAATAACTGATAAATTGCATTGTTTACTTACATTTTAGCACACACAAATATACACTAAAGAAGGTCATATTTAACAGACTCATCTTCTGCATCAAACTAAATAACAGAATTTGTCTATTAAACGCTTGTAGCAGCATTTTGTTATTTCCAGAACACAGCGGCAGCATGTTTTACCCTATAGAACCGAGTACAGCAATAACTGTTTAAAATATAGGTGCTAAAAATATAGCTAAACAGACAGAAAATGCATGAGATATAAAAAAAAACGGGTGCACGCAGCTGTACTGGAAAATTATATTTTCCCTGTGAAAAGAGGAGAGAGAAGAACTCAGATTCTTACACTATAGGCTTGTAAATGTAATTTTTAATAAAATCCATTGACAATCGCAATTACTTTACTTTCCCAACAATGGAATTAAGTCAGTAGAAATACTTTGTTTTCCAGTTACAGTTCGCATGCACATCGAATTCTAAACGATCGGTGACAAGTTACATTTTGTTGTTCACTTGTGATCCATATCGTTTTTGTGTTTTTGTTTTTTTATATGAATTAAAATGATTTCTTTATACAACTTTTGCTTTTGCCCCGCGGCTTACTTCCATTGACAGGAGACGGGGCTCAAACAACCCTTCATAGAAAAGCTGTACAAGGAATTCCGCAAAATATTTTTTTTTCTGGTGGACGATTACCAGCTGGACAGATATTTCACTAGGTGCAATTTGTTTCTTTGCGCCCATAAAAAAAAGAACCTAAAACAATCATTTTCCTTATTGTGCGTAGTGAAAGGGATACTCCCTAAGTGCTATCCTTGTATTTTACTTATTGAAGCTGTGAGAATGTCAGATCTCCAGAATAATACAATTATACACATGACTGGCTAGCCTCAGGGAGCAAAGATATATGCTTCCATGTTCTGGCACACCACAACAAATCTAGCCTGCCAGTTTGAACCTCTATAAGGCTAGCACAGAACACGCAGCAAAGCTTGTGCGCATAACACTGGCTTTAGGAATTTGTGTCTGAAACAGTTAGAGTGTAAGTATACAAATAGCAATAAAGAAAGACAGATGTCAGATGCAGAAGGCTGAGATTGGCTGGCTGTGTTACACCATTCCTTTTCTCTCTGTAAAGGCTTTGGACAATGTGTGATGTGGTGAAGGGTCTATACAGAGACACACAACCTCACATATGTTATTAGTTTTCGACATGGGGAATGCATGCTCCATTGGTTACAATAACACGTTCTCCAATACAAAAATGATTTCACGACATTCACAACTAAAAGACTCATGCTACGGACCTATAAGGAAATTGACGGCCAATCCCTTGAATACTAGGTGAATGTAATGTAAAGAGTGTCAGCTGACGATCTAAGCCAATCAGTAGCTCCCCAATGATAAAAAAAAGAAACACTCACGACTACAGTATCACATCCTGCTGTGGGAGTAGTATGCCTAAGCAGTGCATCGAGGGAAAATTTTAAAGATAACTTTTTTAGGTTTTACAATATTATTTTCTGACAATATTTCTAATGCATTATCTATATAAAACATATGTAGATTTATTTGGCATTCTGAAGTACCACTCTTATTTGTGTCTTTTTGAATCATGCGTTCATTATACATAAGGATTACTTTGCCATTCCCATTTTACAACCTACTTTTACTGCTTGAAATATTAGTTTGTTACTTGATGTATAGGTGAGCTTACCCAGCACTCACACTACATGTCTAGTTTCTGAAGTGTGTCTTTTTCAAACCATTCAGAAAGAGGCAATCATGAGGTAAAATAATCCCTCTATTCTCAAAATTTGCAGTTTGGAAGCAGGAGATATTAGAAAAAAAACTTTAATAAACAAACATGACAAGGAAATCAATTATTTATTTATCACATAAAAATCCCTCTTCTTTTCTTCCAGTATTCTCCAATTCCATGAGATATTGCATACTCTGCTGTTTTCTTACATTCTTGGGGAGTGAACCCTACAAGTGCAGTTTCAACTGTGTTAATTCCTTGGTGTCTTGCCAGCTCTCGAATTTGGCTTTCTAGATGCAGTGGACACACATAAAAATATGACTCACTGCAAATGCTGTATGAGATAAACTTATGTGATTCAGATAAGAGATTGGGACACTGAGTGTTTACAAGGCTTTCAACATTACAAGCTATTTCCACCTGACCATTATGTGGAAATGCTAAGGCTTGAACTCCATCAGCATGGCTGCGGATGGCATTTGCAATAAACCGTCCTGCAGCCACATCTTTCGTGTCGAGAGTCACATTGCAGTTAATCACGTAAGGACTGGCACCAACACCTATGAATATAGAAACATGTTTTTCAGATATGCAGTTCTGGAATGTATAAAATACAATTATTCCTACTGTTCACATACCATTCTAATTTATTAGGAAGTGAAGAACACATTTGACAAAAGGGTTTGGATGGTTAAAGGGACAATTTAAACAAGGTTGTGGTGGTCGTGCTGCCAAGAGTTTTTGGAGCAATCCCCTGTTTGGGAGTGATTTGCAAAAAATGGATCTCTTTCTGGCACCAAGGTTTCACCCTTTCTTCAGTCAACTTAATAATGCATAATTTACACTTCTACATTATCTATATCAATTCCGGCCAAGCAGAATGGCAGGCAGAGAGGGCTAGGGGTCTACAAATCTGTTCTCTTTCACCTTATTCTATAGCATGTATTCACCACCTCTTCTTCACCAGATGTGGTCATAAATTGTGTTTGTATGTTGATCATCTCCAACCATTTACTACAAACCACCCTTCAAAGATCTACCTCTGTCCCATAATGAATGTCACTGCCAGGTGAGTTCATTCAATCTTCCAAGTCTCTCACATTCTTCTAAGTTAATATCCCTTTTTGCATGCACAGCTCAATAACTGCCTAATTTTACATATTGACAGAGATCACCAAGTACATCAAACCACTACCTTTTCTTTGGATCATCAATGTGTGTCTGTCCCTGTTTGCTCACTTGTCCCTAAATCAGGCCGCCAAGACTTATCAAGGGCCTCTCTGCGCTTCTGAAACTCCCACCTCATTCTATTAGACTTGCCCTTGTCTTTATTCCTACAAGAAATGCTTACAAGCAGACTATTTTAGCTACCATTTCAACAGCCTATACCAGCCTATACCAGTCACCCCTCCTCCCCCATATGGCCTGCACAAACCCCTTTACTTCTCTTTCTATACAACTTTCATCTGTTATATACATTACATATAATGCATATTATTTCATACACCTTGCAATCAATCTTCTCTATGTACACTACACATTTACATTTTTCTGTAATTGCACTCAATTTCCTTTAGACTGTAAACACAGCCCCCAACCCCCTCTTGTTCCTATAAGCCAAACATGTTATGTTACAGCTACTGGTTTGTTTCACCAATGCACATCACAGCTGGAAATTCACGCACATACGATTAACAACAAAAATTAAAAGCCTAAGGTATGGAAACGTGAAACACTATATGGCAAATTTAGCAGGTTTACCATGTAAAAGTGTATAATCTATATGCATTTTACTTTTTCATTAAAGCAGTAGCCTAAGCACCATAACTACTACAGCACACTTTAGTGGCTATGGTGTCATGAGACACCTGGTGCCAATCCATAATAAACAGTAAATATGTTTTTGAACAGGGTCCTCCTGGTGCTTGCAGTTTTTCCAGTATTCTGGATATCGCTAAAGTGGAAGCTGCTTTTAATTTAGCTTTATCAATATTGTCCCAATTAAAATGTTTACATTTAAGCAAGAAATTCAACAACATCTTAGGAAAAAAAGTATACAGGTAATAAGGATACGACAAAAAAACAGTGCAAAGTATGAGTAAGTTGCAGACTGTATAGCCTTGAGAGTCTTATCATTTAATCTCAGACCCTGAGATTGAAGTAAAGCCCATAGACTCCAGGTCAATCAATGGATAGGTTCATATCGGACATGCTACATTTAAGTTTGAATAATCTCATAAATATTCCTTAGTACTTCCAAATGTTCAAAATATTCCTCTGTTTAAATGGCTATTCCGAGACAATCGCAGTAACACTGGTTACACTATTAAAGTTAGCATTAAATTCTTAATGTTAAGGATGTTTGTGGTAGAGAGTTAGAGACTATTATTGGCCTCACATACACAAAAATCACATGAAGACAAAACAAGAGTAAAAACGCCAACCAAAAGCAGAAGGTTGGGATGAAAGCCCAGATACATTGCTTTTATTGTCCCCTCATAACAAAGTCTCCCACTATCAACATGAGTTGTATGTCAGGGGTGAATAATTAAAAGAATAAGCAAGATTTTATTCATGAAAAGATGATTAGATTGACTCCACATGTGACATATTTTTCTATACCACCACACAGGAAGGATGTGAGTTTATTTATTTACACAAGGAGAAAAGTTATTTTTGACTCTAAAAAGGGGGATGATTAGGGCACAGCAAGAAACATCTGTAATAAATGGGCATTTGTACTCAGTTTAGACTAATATTGTCAATCACAGTTTCTGACCTCAACAAGAAATCAACTCTGAGTGACTATGTAGGAGCATCAATCCATAATTTGTCTCCTACGCATTCCTCCAATCAATACTCCAGAAAAATGACCATATGCCCACATGGAAAGATACTACTTTTGGCCACCAAAGAGTCTGAAATCAGTGCCTCACCTGTTGGAGCAAATCAGGAATAGAAAATACACACAACAGAAGGTACAGTGATCTATACCAGTTTTAACTGTTATACGTTGCCTAATTCAAACCTTTAATTAGGATATATTAATGGTAGATTGTCCTATAGCCTTGTGGCACTTTACCAAAGACAACCCATTCTCTTGACAGGGATTTAATACCATGTGGTGAAGCACCAAAAATTATTCTAAGGCCCCAAATATTGATAAATTAGGAAGCTGACAAGATCACATGACTAATGACAACGATGCGATTACTAACACAAATTGCTTAAAGACAGAACTTTCCTTTTGCAATCTGCTATACTGTATTTAGACCAAGGGAATCAGAATAGGACACCATTCTTTTTAGCACAGATTTCATCTGAGTGACAAAGAAGGAACACTGTAGAGCATGTATTGGACGGGTTAAGAGAGCTGATGGACCTGGGCTAAAACTTTCCTCAAAAACATAAAAGAACAACGAAGAGCATAATCATTAGGATAGTACAATTTAAAATGTAATAGAATTGGGCAGTATGCAAACCTGTTAATCCGTATCTTTTAGATGGGTTTGCGCCAACATCAGCTTTTAACTGGGTCAGATCGGCTTTTGTGTTTTTCTTAAACCACCACAGGCCTCTTCTTTTCTCAGCCAGACTTTTCTTTGTTTTCTCGTCTGCGTGACCAAAAAGAAACATGCTGCATCCGGGTACAAGTGCGGCCAAATCCTCTGCAATAACTACAAATTAATATTACATTGAGCATCTGCACAGGGAATGAAAATAGTTTGAAGAAAACTCTAGAAGATTAATATAAGTCCATAATGCAAATATAATAATTATAAGGGCGCTCCATAACAAATAAAATATTACTATTCATCAGGTTGGCGTTTTAGCAATCATATATTTTGATATACCTTTTTCTTTAAGGAACACATTACAAAATGAAAGAAGCATTTATGCATTGAAAAAATATAGTATTGTTTAACAACTGCAGTGTATACATTGAAATCGTGTTATGTAGCATATTTAATTTTACTATGGAAATCAAAATCAGTTATTTTTAAAGGAACACTCCCACCTCCATAACAGCATAAATGTATCTTACTTCTAGAGGTGAAACAGTGTGGCAACAGTTTAACCACTTGAGTTTAAAAGGGGGTGAAATTGTTCCTTTAACAGTAATAAAGGAACGCTCCAGGCACAATAACCACTAATAAAATTTTAAAACATTTTGACTTCTTCCCTGAGGTCTCACTCTCTGCCAAAAAGCTGGATGCTCTCTGTCTGAGCTAAACTTTGTTCTCAGCCAATGTGCTAGGCTCTGAGCACCAATCAGCTGAGGGTTTCACCCAATGCACTAGCCCTTTATTCATCTAGATTTGACATTAAGCAGCCCGGAACAGAGTTCTAGGCTGCCTAAGTCACGTGCGCTGGGGGTTCAACTAAAACACTGCACATACATACTCCTACCACCATAACCACTTACAATCATGGAAGTGGTCATGGTGGTCAGGGTAAACCCTTAAAAATATTTGTCCCAAGTTAGACCTCTGCTTTACTTTCACATGGATGACCTGTAACAGCCATTAGGATTCATTCATAGATTAATAAGTTTGTAATACAGAAAGCTGTTTTAGGAACAGTTTTGTAGAAATAGTTTAAAAAACAAATGAGAAAAAAAAAAAGCAAACTAACAATAAAAAAAAAAACACACTACACTATATTTAAAGAAAAGAAACCATGTAACAATCACATCAATTAAGGATTTTTACTTGAATTGGTTATTTTAAGGTGACATTGGCCTTAGGCCTGACTAATTGCATAAGTATTCAATCCTTTGCTGTAATAACAGCTAATGGTTTTGATACAAGTGTGCACATCATTGCACACAGTGAGAGTGTTTGGCTTAGTCTTACTGACAGATTCATTCCAAGGGGTTTACATACTAATAAAAAATATATAAAATGTAGGCATAAATAGCTGATATGGAAACATTCTCTACTCAACTACAATCACAGATTGGCTATCTTAACCTTAAATTTGCAATTCCGATTTTAATTTACTACAATTTGGTGTTTACTGAATAATCCTGCCAATTTTTCAAGGTGGTTGAACTTTGCTTGTTTAAGACACAATTCAAATAGATGCACAGATTCTCAGTAATATTTAGAAATGTTAGCTGATGTGTTGCGCCAAGGAATGGCTTTAAAATATAAACAAAACTGATATTGACAAATCAGAAGTGGAACGTCTGCATGAGCAAAAATTATATAGGGGGCTGGGCTAAGCAGGGCACATAGACTATCTGTCCTTTTAAATGACAAGGTCAGTGCCAGGTGGAGGGAGTGCGGGGGGTCTGGCTCTCATCTACATCTGAGACTGTTCAGATTCTGTCCTGTACTAATATCTCCATCCGGATTGGTGAGATACCCTCCTGGTTACCACCCTGGCATGATCCCTATCTAAGATTCCAGTTGCTGACCCCGTCTGTTTCCGAATTCTTTATTCTGCTTGATCCCTAACTTGAATTCCAGTTGCTGACTCAACCTCCTTTTAAGACTGCTGTTTTGTGTGACCTCTGTCGTAGATTCCAGGAACAAAGACAGGCTGTTTCGGATTTTGTTTGTTCTTGTCTTGAGGCCAGTATGCATAAGTGGTAGATGATCATCAGCCAATTGGTCACCACTAGCTGAAGGAGTCAATCTATGGATGAAAAATCCATAGCTGGTGAATCTAATTTTACTTTTGAACTGACAATCTAGTCCAACCTTTGCCCCATCTGAACCACATAAGTTTGTCCTGACACTATTTTGTGCAAATAAATGCACAGAACATTGTCATCTCTAACAGCTGGAAAGAGAATGTTGAGAGCTGGTAGCAGAGGTACATTAGTGACATCTTGTGGTCATTTCTATCTCACTACAATTCTTCAGTGTTTAAATAACTGAATACAATTGAACAATCCTATCCTTTCACATTTGAGAGAAGAGCATTTTGTTAATTAAAAAAATAAAACACTGAATGTGTTATTTATTACTTTTTTTTATTTGCAAAAAATAACAAACCACTATTTTTACTAGAATTATCAGAGTTTAAAAGAGAAACAACAGAAAAATTGTTCCTTTAAAAAGGGAAGTTTTCAAGCTCTTGATCTCCATGTAAATGACAATTTCAAAACAACCATATATTTTAGTACAGTGTTGTGAAAAATATTTGTCCCATCCTGATTTTGTCTATTATTGCATAATTGTCAAACGTAATAAGTCCAGATCTTCAAAATGAACTTAGACAAAGTCGATAATTTTAGTTAAGGAAAAAAAGTTATATCAAACAGTATTGTGTGAAAAAGTACGTTCTTTTTTTGTACTCAATCAACTGATTAACCAAGTGTAATTGCTCACTGGATTCAGTTTAACTTTACCATCCATGCAAAGGAAATTACTAGACATTTGTAAAGACAGCCTCTGGGACTCCCAACAAACAGCTCCAAATGGAGGAAACTTGGACCAGTGATGAATCCCAAGGACACCCCAACTTCTCATCCAGATCAAAGTCACAAAAGCAACCAGTACAACTTCTAAGGAACTGGCCTCCCTAGCCTCAGCTAAGCTTGTCATTCATGATTTAACAATAAGAAAGACTATGGGCTAAAATGGAATTCATGGACAAATTTTACAAACCACTGCTAACTATAAGAAATATTAGTGATTCTCTCATATTTACAAAAATACACATTGATGAGCCCCACATCTTTTGGGATAAAGTTCTGTGGACAGACTAGACAACTGGACAACTTTTTGGATACATTTGTCTGTTATATCCAGAGCTGAATTAAGAGCCCATTGGGCCTGGTGCTGACAATAATGGTGGGCCTAATTACAGAATCTTATCAACAGAAAACACTAAAACAGTCATACCTCCCAAGCATCGTGTATCTGGTGGAGATGGTGCTGGAGGGAAACTCAAAGGATGCAGCCATAATAAAACACATACCCTGTGCTAATTTCTTGTTTTCACCTATCAAGCAAATCCATATCCCCTAACAGCAGTGTCCAGTGAAAAAGGGTGGGCCTCTGACACGAATCACGTAACCGGCACAACCTAAAGAGTCTGACATGCCCAGAAAGGGGGCGAGTCTACCCAAAGAGTTGGAAGGTCAGTCTGGTTTGAATAGATGTTAAGCTGCGTGCCAATCATGCAGGCTGGCCAACTAATAGCATATAGTGCTCTGAGCTTGCTGCAACTGCGTTTAATGATATGCTCGCGCCATGCTTTCTGGGGATTGTCTTCTAGCACTCACTTGTTCACTTCTCTCCTTGCCAGGAGGCAGAAGCTCCTGGTATGCCATCTGGGACAGAGATAAAATGTAAAACAAAGGGATATGCCACAGTGTTAGAGAGACCAAAGCAGCAAGAGCAGTGATACTCACCTAGCGCTCCACATAGTATTGTGTGATTTTGTGAACTACATAGTTTTCACTGCAATTTTAAGTGTTCGATTTGGCAAGCACGCCTTTTGAATAGTAGCAGCTTTTGGTTTTTTTTCATTTGGTTATTTCTATTTTTTCATAAATAGTGCCTTTCAAATTCACAGAGATCTCTTTTTTGTATCATTTTCCAATGTTTGTATTACCTATCCAGTAAACAATATTCATATCTGCTAGAACAAAACAAGAAAAGTGCTCTGTGCAATAGAAAGTGCTTAATGAATAATACAATTCAATATATGTATAAAGCAGCTCACCACCCTAAAATTACACATAAATGATTGTACGAATAAAGTGTACCTAGTGGAATAAACCACCAAGAGTAAACCAGGTGGAGAGTTAAATAATGTACACTTACCCTCCTAGATATAGAGAGAGGTATATTAGAACTAGATTATCTAAAAGAGAAAAGTAATAGCACAAAATAGTGTATTATGTCAATTTTGACAAACTGACGTGCATATGAGTGGACATATGAGTGGACAACACTCACATGGTATAGAGCCCTACAAGGATAAGCTCAAATCTCAATCACAGGGCTATATAAGGTAATACCAAAACCTCTTCAAATTATTGACTCAGAAGTTCTCAAAAATAACTGAAGAGAACAGAGACTACTAACCTTCTATATATCAGGAGCAGGAAACAGCAAGGACCCACTGGACTTTTAAATCACAATTTGATTTACTTTTATTGAATAGCAAGTATTAATAAACAACAGGGTAGTGCTCTCTTAAAGGCACAGACACCATAACACTGTAAGCCTAGTATAACTGGCTCTTAAAAAGATGAGCATGATTAATAATTATTAGGAACTGCAATGTGCATACCTGAACAGGTTTACCAAAGTGTGCCGTGTGAACAGGGATGCACTTATATTAGAATGCTTGTATTATACTTTAATTCTAATCAGATATATTGATCTAGTTATTTTAACCAATAGATAAGTGGCACCATAATCATGTCTAATAAAACACAAACTGAATTTCACAGCTTTGAGGAATATTCCACATTATTTATAAAACATACCTTGGGCAACCAGACCACATTCTTCTGGTCTCACATCTGACAGGGGATAGATAGGAATAAGATCTATGGCTCCAAGACAGGGATGCACTCCATCATGTTGAGACAGATCAATGCATGCAAACCCTTCAACACATGCCGAGGTTACAGACCTGCCTAAATGACAACAATAACTTTTTCGGCAGCCACAATATATTTAGAATAAATATAGTAATACATGATTCACTTCAAATCTTAGCTACTATAATAGCATTATACTTATACAGCTGTGCAAGAAACAGGGTGACCGAAATGATAGTTTTACAAGGAATTATGAAATGTACTGTTGGGCAGCACCTGTATGTCCTAGATAAAAAGTGTCTGCCTCAGATAGCTCAAATATTGAGTTTCTACAGTTCTCCCAAAATGCAATGCGTGACATGCAAACAGGCACACATAGTGGCCAGTTTTTCAAATTCAGTGCACATATCTGAAGGCTTCCTTAGCCATGGCATAATATTTTAAGACACAGCTTTTTAACTCATAGCATAGGTTATGATCTTCAAATATAACATAATAAATGCATACAACAGGATGGCAATCCTAATATTAAAGATAGCAGTCAGAAAAATGTATTTTAACTGAGCTATGCAATGTGCCCTGATTAATTCTACCAGGTCTATTCACGTAAGTGAGAATTCAAAGTTAATTTCAAATTTAAGGGCAAAATATATGGACTGGAAAAGTTCTCAAAGTCAGCTATACATGAAGTTTAGCTATTTTGGTGCAAAATTTTAATTTCACTTTGAATTTTCACTTAAGTGAATAACCTTGTACAATGGGGTCGACCTAGCACATCGGCATCCAGATACATAAACCTTATTTCCCATGATGCCTAGGGTAACAAAGTTCCCTTCATAAAGACATATTTGAAAATTATCATTTATCATAGGATAAGATGGAATCTTACAAAATGTTTTCTTAAAGGGACACTGTAGGCACCCAGATCACTTCAGCTAATTGAAGTGCTCTGGGTGCTATGTCCCTTTTGCACCTATTATTGCAATGTTAAACATTGCAGTTCCAGAGAAACTGCAATGTTTACATTGCAGCACTAAGTCTACCCTCAGTGGCTGTCTTCCAGAATACTAATGGACTTTTGGTCTGTTTTCTGATGCTGGATGCCCTCACGCTCTGCTGATGTCCTCACGCTCCAGCTGACTTAGACAGGGGAGGAACATGGGCGGAGCCTGCCCAACGCAGAGGGACATCGGGGCTGGATTCAGGTAAGTGGCTGGGGGGCGCGAGGCTGGGGGGAGACCTATTAAACCTATAGTGCCAAAAAAACAGCTTTGTTTTCCTGGCACTTTAGGATCCCTTTAAAAAGAAAAATAAATAGTGGTTTTAATATAAATCTTAACACAATTTATTTTGAATTATTAAATGAATGAAAATTTATAAAATCATCAATGAGTAATCATAAAAAATGGATCGGTTTCTAAATCCTTTGAAGTGAATTTGGAGGAAACACTGGAAATCTCCTCAGCTCTCTTATTTAATTAAGCAATCAATTAGAAGGGATATGAAAGAAAAGCAACAAAACTACTTGAATATTTTTATAAATTAAAAATACAATTCTTTAGCAAAACTGGGACTGTCATAGTTAAATATAAAGGTTTAAGAAATTAGGATGGGGACAAAAGTGCATTTACTGCACGTGAAGAGTTAATGAGTTTATGAGCTTCTCATTTGTTCAGCAAATGAAGTAATTTAATTAACATCTTTTTTTTAATTCCCTGAAGACCTGTTTTTCACTTGCTCAGCTAAAATAATCTTAACAAATGTTATTTGGAGCTCTTAAAGCAACAGCAAGCATATTTATTAAATGATAGGAAGTCATAAGGCGTTTTATGGGCCATTCATTACATCCACTGACTTATTGTTTAGCAATGCTCAGAGAACAATGTCCATTAACTTCTCCTTGGCTATTGAAAATGATTAGATCTTTGAAGTCCATATGACATGAAAATTTTGGCTAGCACAGTCCTAGGTGACGGTTTTTATCAAGTGAATTAAAGTAATTTTCAAACAGAAACTGTGTGAGTGTTCTCTATAACTAAACCATTAAAAATAATTTTCTTAATTTGATACAGAAGAAAAATACATATCCAGACACAAAAAGAGATTGATGGTGTAATCTAAGAAAATGAAATCGACTAATGTAAAGAAGTAATCTGGAATAATAAATATAATATAGCATATTAACTTCAAAACTTCGATATGGCTTTGTAATTAATTGCTGTTGTAAATATATAATTGTGTAAGAATAGGAATCACAGATGATGAAGTACCAGACTCCTACAAGGCCAATAAGATTGGTACACCCCCATTATGTGTTTCTTCAACTGGTGGTCTTGTGATAACTTGATGGAATAGAATGTCTACGCAATCTTCATTGTTCTCTAAGCAATGCAAGACAATTGGTGCTCATGTCCACCCTTAGAAATACAGCAGATTTTAGATGATGGGTGTTGAGATATAATTTACCCTTCCCAACTATTTAAAATACATCACGTTAGACAATGGGTTTTGGGATAACGTATCAGATGCTTTACTGTCTGTCACGTAGAATACAGATAGTAAACCAAAGGATCAGACATTCCGTTCTCTACTCCTAGTGTTTCCAAATCAACATTATTTTACAGGCATTTATCATTTCTGCATTCTATCAGGCTTGAAAGTGTTGTCCTGCCTGCCATTTTATGGAATCAATTATTTAATCATGGAGGTTTCTTTAACATTTCAGCCATGCTTAGTTAATTGATTTTTTTTATTAGGAGTTCATGAATACCCAATCCAAACACAATGCAGAATATATCAGCATCCTTCTTCCCTCCTTTATAGGACTCTGGGCCCTTGGTGTGACTTTGGCATTGTGATCTCACCTGTAGAGGCGTGGCATGTTCTGCCCCCTCCCCTCTGCTATTTTAGATGGTTTCACACAATCGTTGGTGCGGGGATCCTGCCATCACCGAATCTGTTACACTGCTAAATCCTACGACTAAAAGAATGCTGATATCACTATTAATCTTATATGGGTAATTTACTTTACTCCTGTTTTTTGATGTTTTTATCTCTAAAATGTGAGACTTGTGCTTAAAACATTTTGTCATGTGCCTCTTTTTGTATTATTGCCTTGTCTCTTAAATAAAGAACTAAAAGACAGAAATAATTAGAATCCTGTAAAAACATAACCACCCTACCATCACCCCACCTAGAATACCAGGGCCTGTGTATCAGTTCTCTCCCAAACTAGGCGAACATGTAACAGGGCAGAGGGACCTTGAAATTAGTGAGTGGAGCCTCTCAAAGCATTGTTAGGTCCTGTTCTATAGCAGGTGGTTTCCTAATTCCTGCATATAGGATTATATTTCAGCGAATGCCTCAGTGACACATACACACATTAGATAGCCATCACACCTACCTATTTGTTCAGCAGTAGAGACTATTGTTATAACTGATCGATTGTAGTCATAATCTGAAAAAACATTCAGCACTGAAGTGTCTGGATGTTTATGACCTGTCAGAAGAAAAACACACAGATTTTTATTTTTTTTGCTTTTAATGCAGATATTTGACAATATAAAATGTAAAGCCATGCAAGATAAAACTAAATGTTAACATCTTGAATACGAGCAGTCAAAAATATATATTTTTATTATTATTCTTCAAGGGACACTTTAGGCACCGAGACCACTTCATCTCAATTAAGTGGTCTGAATGCTATGTCCCTGTCTGTTTAACCCTGCAACTGAGCCACTAGAGGTGCTTCTGCTTCAATGGTCATTCAATCAGATGGTCTCATGGAAAATTTGATGACGTCGTGTGGTGTTTTGTTGTGCATGCACACTAGCCTTTACAATATTTGATCTCAAATGGATGATCTCAGTCAAAGAGGTAGATTGTGATTGTGGAGACCAGCATGGCGAGGGATGAAAGGTAAGTGATACTCACCTTTCACACCCTCACATGGGTTGGGGGTGACCTAAATGGGTGTCAGGACACTATAGCGTTTACATGTTTGTGTTCATGTAATACAATGATTGTATTGCTAAAGCTATAGTGTTCCTTAAAAATACTTATTTTGTAACAACAATTGTAAGTGCAGGCCTAGGTGCTTCACATTTGAATCGCCACATTATCAAAAGGACACTGAAAAAACCATGACCATTACAGTTTATTGGCATTGTTACAGAGCAATGAGGCTATGGATGCAGTCCACTTGTTTTGTTACTTTTTTGCAAAAATATATTCAATAGATTTGCCAAAAAAGGAGGATTACAAGGCAATCGAAGCCCGCCTACCCACTCACCTTTAACTTTCTCAATATCTGTTAAAATAGCTATATATTAAGTCAATATAAGTTTTTATATTTTCATAGAAGGGATACAGAAAGGGGTAATTAGTTGGGACTGGCAGGTCCGTCACTCCGACAAGGATCACAGTAAACATTAGTGGTGTATAGTCAGCTTGATAAACAAGAGTAACATTAAGGCATATTACACACCACTTGTGATGAAGTATTAGTACAGTAAAACCGTGATTAGTGTATGTGGTAGCAACACTCAGGAGAGGCGACCTGATGTTGTTTTTCTGGCCCACATCCCATCTACAAGGGATGTGATGACCGTGTGTAATGTGGCAGAGCAGGGCGACATGCAGGGTGCCTACCAGCCGCTTCCCAACCGGGACCCAGCTAGACCAGATGGGTTAACAGACACACCATTGTTGTATTCGTTCTAGGAAAAAGTGTAATTGAAGAGCTTGGAAAATGGACATCAACCTCATCCCCCCCCCCCCTTTACAATAAGCGTTGTGATTATGGCAGGGTAAGACCGTGTATTTCCCCGCACATCCCTTACCACCCCCGCCCACTCCAACGTCCTCCCCTCCCATCAGCGTACTTTGGAGTTTTTAGTCTTTGTAATCATACCCACCACCCCTCAGTCTAAAATAGTCATTTATTAGATTACACAGTGTAGTATGGGAGAATTCAGCCAATTCACAGCCGATTTGACTCATCAAACTTATAGTTGATACTTTAAGTGCTACCTATGTAATACAAGTTCCCTATTTGAATTTTTAAATTAGTTAACAGCAATTCAACCATGCTGTAATGGTTAAAGCAACTCTGACTGTGAAGCAATGCATGCTTATGTAAAACAGATATTTGGATGGATAGTCAAGGGACCGCATTTAGCACACAATTCACTCCTATTCTCCTTTTTTGTGAATAAACCCTACAATATTTTTTTACATTACCTATATTTGACCATTAGTATTGTGCTTAAGATAGTACTGGGAGAATTGTAAGTCAACCTAAATAAATTGAAGAGAAAGTACCAAGACAGGCTCTTCGTTGGCTTAAGGAGTTATCAAATGCCAGAGGGTTTTGCAATTGGGTATATTAACAGGACACTCTAATGGAACAATAAAGGAACTAAAGTATATTGTAGCACCTGTCAAGACTGCACTGGTATGCTAAATCAGAAGTTCGTACTTACGTATTTAAAAACTAATTATGGGTATTACTCAAGTGACACTCTCAGAAAATTAATAGTTTCCAAACTAAGTATGCATTGGTATGGTAAAGTGCAATTCTGACTATTCTTTAATATACACCCTGTGACGTCTGATTAAGAACACCTGTACATTCACATCAATAACAAGAAAATTATGTGAATAGGCAGTATTTGAAATATTTCAGGAATAGAGGTGATGTTTGGTCTGAACATCTTGGACTGTGATACGGATTGTTGATCACAAACATTGTGTTTCTTGCATCTCAATATTAGCAAACCTACTTGTATTTGACACACTACTAGAGATTTAAAACATTACCACCACAAATGGTCAAGTGAAAATGGTCAACTCAGTCTAAAGTATCTCACTTTCTGCTGTGACATGCAAATGGCAATCAGAATTTGGTGTAAACAACATAAATGCATTAATCTATCCTGTCCTGTATAACTGTTACAGTTGGGCTGTTATGGGAGTAAAGTAGTAAACTGCAGTACAATTTAAAATGTCCAATGGCAGCCATAAAGTAGGGGCAGTGAACAACAGGACATAGAAACAAAAAAATATAGAATGTGACGACAGATAAGAACCATTCGGCCCATCTAGTCTGCCCAATTTTCTAAATACTTTCATTAGTCCCTGGCCTTATTGTATAGTTAGGATGGCCTTATGCCTACCCAACGCATGCTTAAACTCCTTCACTGTGTTAACCTCTACCACTTCAGCTGGAAGGCTATTCCATGCATCCACTACCCTCTCAGTAAATTAATACTTCCTGATATTATTTTTAAACCTTTGCCCCTCTAATTTAAGACTATATCCTCTTGTTGTTTTAGTTTTTCTTCTTTTAAATATAGTCTCCTCCTTTACTGTGTTAATTCCCTTTATGTATTTAAATGATTCTATCCAGGGCTTGAGTCCTGCAGGAACGCATGGGAACGGTGTTCCTGCACTTTTTCCAAAGCAGGAACGCAGTTCCCGCTAGTAGTCCTGCAGAACCTGCCCTGCTACCTGCACACAGGGGCCCAGCACACTCTGTGTTCCCTCTCCAGCTGCAGCTCACATTCGCGAGCCGTCAGAGCGTTGCCACGGGTCACCATGGCAATGCTCTGCACAGCACGTAGGCGAGTCTCGCGAGAGTTAGACAGAGCCAGTGAGGGAACACAGAGTGTGCTAGGCCCCTGTGTGCAGCACCTGGCTTCCTCCACCATACCACCAGGCTATCTCCCCCTTCTATCTTTTTTTAGGGGAAGGGGGGGGGGGGAATCCTGGGTGAGTTCCCACACTTTTTGACTTGAACCCTGATTCTATCATATCCCCCCTGTCTCGTCTTTCATGCAAGCTATACATGAATGTATTTAAATAAACAGTATTTAAATAAACAGTCGGTCACTCTGATTACCTTAGAAAACTGGAACTCTGACAGAAAATAGCTAAACAAATGTTTTTTCTTCTTTAAGATAAGCAAAGAGATTTTGTAATAAGGTACCACATGAATGGACTATTAGAACCATGACTGAGTTACTTGAAGTATATTTAATCTTTTTTTAAGAAATACTTGATAGAATCATGGGCCTTAAAGCACTATAGGGTCAGGAATACAAACATGTATTCTTGACCCTATAGGGTTTAAAACCACCATCTAGCCACCCTGCTCCCCTCATGCTTCCCTAAATATAGTAAATCTTACTTGTATTCAAGTCTGGAGCTGCTTGCTTTGTGCTTGTTTCCTTTAGACCTGCCCACTACCTGCTGACATCAGCAGAAGTGGTAGCCTGATCCAATCACAATGCTTCCCCATAGGATTGGCTGAGACTGTGAAGGAGGCAGATAAGAGGCAGAGCCGGCATGATTCAAACACAGTACTGGCCAATCAGCATCTCCTCATAGAGATGAATTGAATCAGTGAATCTCTATGAGGAAAGTTCAGTGTCTGCATGTAGAAGGAGGAGATACTGAATGTTTGGATGCATTTTAGGCAGCCATGACCCAGGAAGGATGGCTAACAGCCATCTGAGGAGTGGCCAGTGAAGTTATCACTAGGCTGTAATGTAAACACTGCATTTTCTCTGAAAAGACAGTGTTTAAAGCAAAATGCCTGCAGGTAATGATTCTACTCACCAGAACAAATTCAATAAGCTGTAGTTGTTCTGGTGACTATATTGTCCCTTTAATTTAATATTTTTGGATAAGGTTTTCAAATGATTTAATATTTTTGGATAAACTTTTAAAATGGTTTAAAATATTGACAGATATTTCAATATTTTCATATATTAGTATATATATTTGATATTTTAATATTTTCAAAAAAATAATTATAAACGTTTATGCAAGAATATTAACTCAGGTTGTAATTAGGAACAATGGTAATGTCAATTTTCGACCAGAGTTTTGCTTTAGTGAGATATCTGAAGAGGCCGGACAGGAGGTAACCTATTATCAAACATCTCAGAAATGGTTTGATTACTTACTGTGGGATGGTGTCAGTGCAAACATAAAAAAAATTAAATATATCAGTAGCAAAAAAATTAATAGTGAATAGTATCAAAAATACATATATGAAGTGGTGAAGAATGGGAAATGCCCAAATTAAAAGGCGGAAAAAACAACATTGCGGTGAGTACTCAGAGAAAGAGGGGGGCTAGGAATAGTAAGCAGTAATATGTCGAGGAGTGGGAGAAAGTCAAGGAAAAGATTTGAGTTCTTTAAAAAAAAATTAAAAGCTTTTTAATAGAAAAATATACATTCTCGCTGCCCAAAAGAAAATAAGGGATTATCAACTCATCTTTACTAATTACAAAACTAAACAACTCCTCAACCAAATAACTTAATGGGATAACATACTACTATAGAAAAAAAAATACATTTTCTGGCAATTTCTTCAGGTTCTGTACAGGAAAAGAAAGAGAGAAATAACTGCAGGCTGAATGAGCTGTCAGTTTGATTCTCTGCAGAACTAAATTGTTTTGTCTGCGTAATGGAGTATAATAGCTATAATTTTGCTTGAACCACAGTCACTAATAAGTCTAAGAAGCGTTCAAGTAAGGCTCAGGGTATCCCACCAGCACTTGGCTGGCAGATTGCTTGGCGCAATCGCTTAATCACTAGGCAGATAACCTAATCCTATAAAACTACTAAGGAGACAAAGAAATAAAAGATTGGGCACAATTGTATTGTCAGGACTGAAATCCTGTTAACTTAACAGGAAAATATAATAAATACCTTGGCATGTTGGTGACTAGGAGACACAATTCCTGCTGCCAAGCAGGCACACTCTAAATGGGAAAACAAATCTGATGTAGAGGCTGTAACACATGGGCCAAATAGGAAGCTTACCATAACATGTATTTTCTGGAACACAACAAAACTGCAAAATCATTTCATTCTGAACCTTACAGAATAAAGCTTTTCCCTAATATTCAGAAACCGTTTAATATAGCTGTTCTATATACAGTCCCTGCAGGCATTTTGCAGTAAAAACTGTATTTTCAGAGAAAAGATAGTATATCTATATTACAGCATAGATACACCTTCAGTGGACACTCCACAGATGACATTTAGTGTTTCCACCCTTTGCATTGAGAGACTTAACTTTCCTCATAGAGATCCATTGATTTAATGCATCTCTATGGGGAGATGCTGATTGGCCAGGCAAGAGTTTGGCTCCACCTTCAGCCCGCCTCATTAGCAATCTCATGCAATCCAGTGCTTTCCTATGTAAAGTGAGATCATCACTTCTGATAATGTTAGCCAATGATTAGGTGTTTTTAATAAAACTTACAAAATTGGTCAGCACCAAAGTAGCTGTTTAGTAGATAAGGGAGTGCACTGGATTCTCATTTTTACTGTACTTATTGGTCCCCAGCAGCACCCCATTTTAAAAACTAACAAAATCGGACAGCAGCAAAGTAGCTGTTTAGTAGATAAGGCAGTGCGCTTGATTCTCATTTTTAATGTTAGCCAATGAGTGTGTTTTTTTAACACTATAGGGTCTGGAATACATGTTTGTGTTCCTGACCCTATAGTTTTCTTTTAACATGGGTAGCTATTCTAACACAGCTATTTTGATTAAAAATTTTACATTCTCTTTGAGCTCAATCTGAATTCCAGATAATGAATACTTTAGTAAATAATTATAGGGTTATTAGTTAAATAGACATTATAGGCACCCAATCCATTTCATATCATTGAAATGGTTTGGGTGAAGTGCCCATGTCCCCTTAACCCTGCAATTTTTAAATTGCACAGTCAAAGTGGACATATATTAAAAAAGTAAACTTACCTTAAAGGCTCCCATATACGTTGAATGCATCATGTATCAAAAAGATTTTGTATTCTTAACGCTATAGTGTTTCTATAATTTGTAAACTGTTGTAAAATCAAAGTGAATTTGAATTGAATTGCAAATTTTAGGCCAAATTTTTTTTTTTTTAAATTGACTTTGGGAATGTTTCAAATTTGCTTATTTTGGCCTACAATTTGAAATTCACTTTGAACATAGACAATCCACACTTTAGTGCATAACTAAATAGAATATCGGATTACTGTGGACTGCATTTCCCAGAATGCTTGCATGCTGAAAACTGTAATTTTCTTCTCAGAAAAAAAAGAGCCACATGGCACTCGTCCTATATTAGTATCTCTAGTATTCGGCTCAGCAAATAAGCAGTCTGTACCTAGTGAATGGGAATATACAACATTAAAAAAAATTGGTAAAAACTAAAAATTAAGAGCCTTAGGCGTTTTGCTGCAAATATTCTTTATAGTGTTGCTTTATGTGCTAAATGAGAGTATCTAATTTGTGAGTGATGAGGCAATGATTCTGTCAATCTGGCTCCCATAAAAACTTATGGGCAATACAAAAGTTCAACACAATAGCTCCACGAAAAGACTCCGTGAGGAAGGGTTTCATTATTCCAAATTCCGTGTGGATAGAAGAGAAAGAGAAACAAATGTAATAAAAAATTATAAAATGTATTCCAATGTACTAATGGTGGCCACTAATCATACTGAAGAATCAGACATTTTTTAGAGAAATTAGAAGACCTTCACTATTTCCATAACTATTTTATTTAATGTACAATTTTAATTCTAAGTCACATTTGCAAAATACACATTTTTTATTATTTATAGGACATATAACATAAACCATGCTGATATTATATGGTGGGATTTATTAATTTCAATTTGTACATATGGGTAACTGACAATTTCACCCCTGTCAATTCTTCATATTTAGCAGCTTAGTGAATAAGCTCCAATCTTATACATGGGAAATATTTTGGGTTATATTACGTCTCAGGTTTACAGGAATCCTTAGAATCTTATAACACATTTTAGAGAAATACTTTGCCAGGATGCTTAGGGAGTCTTTACCCTTTAAAATAAATATATTTCAGATTCAAACAGAGTACCGAGTTTGGCCACTGCTGCTATAGGTTCAGCTACAAGTCTGCTCCTAACTTGACATATTAGCCATCAAGTAACCTTTTCTATATTATGTACAAAAGTTAAAATTACTATAATTATTAGACATGTGCAATTCGAATTTCGGGCAATTCGGACATTCGGGTACTTCCAAATGTCCAAATAGATGAATTGCCTAAGTCCCGAAGTTCCGAACTTACCGAATTTCCAAAGTGTCGAAGTTCCGAAGTGCTGAAGTTGCCAAAGTTCCGAAGTGTCAAAGTTCCAAAGCACAGTATTGCCTAAGAACTAATATACTTACCCAGTGGAAGAATGAAGAATGTTACACTGTATACAATTTTAAATAAAAAGAATACAAACATAGCCAGGATTCAGCTGTAAGCATTTGCAACACTTACAACAATCAAGTAACATACATTCATATAAAATATAAGTTACTTGGCCAGTCAATGTAATGACAGGAATTCCCATAGTATTAGGGAGCTATCTACTAAAAGGCTGAAAGACCTAAATTGGTCTTTCAGACAAATTTACTAATACTAAGTAAACATTACTTAGTATTAGTAAATTATGCCCCTACTCGCTATACCACGAGTAGGGGCATGTCTATTAAACAGTGAGCAGCCACTGTAAAAAAAAGTCCCCCCTGAGCGGCGGGTGAGGGCCCTAAGGTAAAATAATGGGGGGGGCCTAATGTCCTCCCCTTTGGCCCCCATCCCAAACCCATAGTCACCCCCCTCCCCAAAAAAACTAACCCCTACCTACCCCCCCACCCTAGAAATAATGAGGGGGGGACCTTTAACTAAGTACCTTTAACTAACTAACCATTTGATGTTTTCTTACTTCTAAAATCTTCTTTTTTCAGCCCCCAAAAAATCCAAATAAAAAGCCATAATAACCGACGCACTTTAAAAAAGGGGGACCCTTTTTTGTTTTTTAACAGTGAGCAGCCCCAGGCTGCTCACTGTTTAATAGACATGCCCCTACTCACGGAATAGCAAGTAGGGGCAAAATTTACTAATACTAAGTAATTTTTACTTAGTATTAGTAAATTTGGCTGAGAGACCAATTTAGGTTTTCCTAATACCGTGGGAATTAGGGAGTTAGCTATTAAGCGGCTGCAAGAGAAGTCCCGAAGTGCCAAAGTCCCGAAATTCCGAAGTTCAGAAATTCCGAAGTGTCGAAGTGCCGAATTCCCGAATTTCGGAATGCCAAACCGAACCGAAAATTTTCCCCATGCACATGCCTAATAATTATGTAGATTTTATTTATACAAGCAAATTTCAGTAAAATAAATTAAAAGAGCACTGTAAGCAACTTGTAGTAGTAATGTTGCCTACAGTTCCCAAGTGCCATCACACCAGTTTAATATTGAAACATTACGAATGGCTTGTCACAACCCAAGTGTCTCCCCAGCACCCAAAAAGTGCCTCTATCTTTGCTGCATTAATATTGTTGAATTAATGTTAGAGGAACATCCTGGGCACCATAACAACGTTAGAGGAACATCGTGGGCACCATAACAATTTCATTGAAATTAAGTTGTTATGGTGCCCGGAAGTCCCTGACGCATGCTTACCTTTAGGATTTACACTTTTCGTGAACAGTTTAACCCCAAGGTCTCCTTGCTAGCACAGTTTTGCTTTGCCCCTCCAACATCAGCTTTTTAAAAAAATCTTCAAAAGAGAAGCCTCGGACTGCTGCGGTTAGTTGATGCTCTACGCCAGCATTTCCCAATTAATGTTCCACGGAACCCTAGAGTTCCGCGATAACAAAATTGGGGTTCTGCACCGATTTGCCCTCGGATGGCCCAAGCATTTAGGGCCACCTGATGGATATCGCTAAACAGGGGTCCGGTCAGGCGCCACAGCCCCTGTTGTATGGGATGCTGGGAGGAAGTGACACTTCCTCCCAGACAGAGCGTGCTGGCAGGAGGGAGAGAGGGAGCAGCGGGAACTGAGCAGCACACCAACCTCAGCCAGCAGCACTGAAGATCCACTTGCAGAAAATAGGTAAGTGAACAACAAATTTAAACATATGTGTGTGTACATGTGCCAGTGTGTGTATCTGCCAATGTGTGTGAATCTGTGTATGTATGTGCCAGTTTGTGTATCTGTATGTCAGATACATACACACACGCAGATACACACACCAGCATATACAAAATACACCCTGTAACGGACCGTTTTGCACACAAGGGGTAAAAACCGTTTAGGCGATCGGCCCCCTTTCCAGAGATACAGGCACAGCTACTGCAGAACACCAAACTCCTGAACTGGATACAAAATAGCACTCCAACTTCCGAACTGGAACCTCCCAAATAGCTGCTAGCAGACGAACAGGAAAAGCAGACAATCAGCTTACACTCCTGGCAATCAGTCTCTAACAGCATACAGTGAATCCCCCAAGAACGAGACAAGGCTCTGTGTTGAGGGTCAAGCAGTGGTCTGAGGTGCTGGCACACCCAGCCTGGTTTTTATTACAGTCTTGCAAATACAGGACCGCCCACAGGGAGGTATAAAATATCCAGTAACATATTAGTTACAACCCACAGATTCCCTCCCCCTTATCCTGAGAAGTAACCCAATTACCCCTTCCTTTTTACCACAATGCATCCTGGCTTCCTCTCCTCTGCCCAGGAGATAATTGAGAAGTAATTAAATTATCTCCCAGGACAGAGACAAGACTCCATTATGCACGTGGTTTGCACAAAGCATTAAAATACTGTACAATACACAAAGTCCCATTTTATACATAAAACACAGACATGTCAGAAGCAAGACTCCATTATGCACATGGGGACACAAAACAAGCATTAATGTTAAAATACACCAGGTAAAATACATTAGATTAAAACTATACATTTAACATATCCCCAGATAGCTCAGGTCTGAGCGCACATTATTAAGTGAATGGCGCTCAGACCACACAAATACAGTTTAATCGCCATGGAGCCAAAGTCTTTACAGTCAGTTTCATACGAATGGGCTCCATGGGATTCCTATATGGGGTATAACACATTCAAACAAATCTACCGAACCCCAGGCAGAAAAGCACGAATGAAGCTTTTGATGTCTTTTAACAGGGGGGCCATAGTCCAGAGGCAGCAGGCGAGCAACCAGGCTTCTCCAATGCAATGTGGCGAGATTGGTCTTGTCACACACCCCTTAACTCTAACTCCAAAATTATATACAAACACTCAAACACCAATACTACACACAAATGTACACCACATTTAAAATACAACACTACATCCAAATACACCTCTCCACGCAAATACTAACATTCCATACAAACACATCCTTGTATTAAAACGATAAAATAACATACAAACACCAACTCTACACACAAAAAACATACATAACTTCTCCTAAGTACTGCAATCTGTTTAATATCTGTAGAAATTAGTGTGCAGAGGCGGCTCTAGACTTTATGAGGCCTTAGGCGAAACTTAAACATTAGGCCCCACTAACAAAAAAGTGTCACATACACACATTGATGCATAGTTTACCTGTGTATGTGCCTGAGAGTGTGTCTGACAGAGAGTATCCTTGTGTGTGTGTGTGTGTGTATGTCTCTGTGAGCATGTTTGCGTTTTTGTCTGAGACCCTATGTGTATGGGGTAGCTGCGTGAAGTGTGTTGTGTGTATGGGGGGGGGTGATGGTGAGAGGGAGGGGGGATGATGGTGTGAGGGGGAGATGGTGAGAGGGGGTGATGATGACAGGGAGGTGATGGTGTGGGGGTGATGGTGAGAGGGAGAGGGGGTGAAGGTAATGTGAGAGTGAGAGGGGGGTAATGAGAGTTAGAGGGGGTAATGTGAGGAGGGAGGGAAGTGATGTGAGAGGAAGGGGTTGATGGTGAGGGAGGGTTGATGGTGAGGGGGGGGATGGTGAGGGGGTAATGGTGAGGGTGGTGAGGGAGGTGATGCTGAGGGTGGTGAGGGGTGATGCTGAGGGTGGGTGATGCTGAGGGGATGATGCTGAGGGTGGTAGGGGAGGTGATGCTGAGGGTGGTAGGGGAGGGGTGATGCTGAGGGTGGGTGATGGTGAGGGGTGATGCTGAGGGTGGTGAGGGAGGGTGATGCTGAGGGTGGTGTGGGGTGGTAAGGCTGAGGGTGGTGGGGAGTAATGCTGAGGGGTGGTGGGGGAGTAATGCTGAGGGTGGTGGGGGGTGATGCTGAGGGTGGTGGGGTGGTGAGGCTGAGGGTTGTGGGGGAGAGAGAACCTACCTTTACTCCCTGGTGGTCCAGTGGGCTCCCTGGTGGTCCGGTGGCCATTGCTTCCGGTCTGCAGCTCCGCAGATCTGCAGACCATGTAATCTTGCGAGACCATCAGAGCGTTGCCGTGGTAACCCGCAGCAACGCTCTGATTGGCCAGTTCTCGCGAGACACATGGTCTGCAGCTCTGCTCACTGCGGAGCTGCAGACCGGTGTCTGCGGTGGCTGGCCGGGCAGCCAGGAGGGGCCTCTCATCCGGTGGCATACCGGGCAAGCCACCGGGCCCCCTCTTGGTGTCGAGGCCTTAGGCAGCCGCCTAAACCGCCTAATTAGAGATCCGCCTCTGTTAGTGTTTATATGTAGTAAAAAAAAAACACACATTATGCTCTACTAATTGAAAGATTTATGCAACGGCGCAAATTTTTTTTTGTGGGGGGGGGGAGGAGGAGTTCCACGATGTTGATACACTATGTTAAAGAGTTCCACATGAAAAATTAATGGGGAACCCCTGCTCTAAGCCAATCAGTAGCTCCCCATTCAAAAAACTGGTTAAGAAAAATGCATACTTAAATCCATGCATGTTTTATATCGAATAAACAGTGATTTTTTTTATATTGGGGCAGTATAATTCCACAGTATAAGTGCTGGCCTGGCGTGGTCAGGGGCCGACTCTGGGTGCTGTAGAGACCTGGTTTATTGGTTTATATCAAACCATTACAAATGTTCTGAAATTAAACCAGGGGTTCAATTGCTTAAAATGCCCATTTAAGATTAGCATGGAATTATGACGACTGTAATTCTGCAATCTTCCTTTCAACTGTTACTATTGTGAATTTTGGGGATGATAGCTAGGTGGAAAAAAAAATCATCTTGCACATTTCTTATTGCTCAAATTAATTACTCTTAATTATGATACAACATATATACATATATATTATATGTGTACATAAGGTATAGCATACACAGAGTACAAAACAATTTAATCATACTTACCATGTTGGTCGTGTAAAGCAGCATTTGCAATTTTTTCTACAATATGCTTATTTCTGGCTTCTGAAACATTAAGTAGGCAGGCCGCTAACTGCAGCCCAAGTTTCCTAGATGTCATGGCAAATTTCTGTAAACAAGCAATAAAATATTTTAATTAAAATCCCTGGTACCATCTAGGATAACAATATGTACCCTTTACCTTTCTTGCCTGGTTCTTAAAGGGATACTATAGTGTTGTAAATATAAACCTGTATTATAGTTCCCTCTGCCACCTGTGACCTCACCTCGGCCAATAAAGAGTTGAAAACCCTTTTATCACTTAGCCAATACCTGTGCTGATGTTCCTCTGCACTGGGTCAGCTCCCGAATCCCCACCTTCTCCAACATCAACTGAAGGGGGGAGGGGGACTAATGCACTAGTGCCGCAAGTGCATTAGGTTCTCCACATAGGAAAGCATTTAAAGGACCACTATAGTGCCAGGAAAACATACTCGTTTTCCTGGCACTATAGTGCCCTGAGGGTGCCCCCACCCTCAGGGACCCCCTCCCGCCCGGCTCTGGAAAGGGGAAAAGGGGTTAAACTTACCTTTTTCCAGTGCTGGGCGGAGAGCTCTCCTCCTCCGATCCTCCTTCTCTCCTCCCTGTCGGCTGAATGCGCACGGGCGGCAAGAGCTGAGCGTGCATTCAGCCGGTCACATAGGAAAGCATTCATAATGCTTTCCTATGGACGCTGGCGTGCTCTTACTGTGAAAATCACAGTGAGAAGCACGCAAGCGCCTCTAGTGGCTGTCAATGAGACAGCCACTAGAGGCATTGGGGGAAGGCTTAACCCATTAATAAACATAGCAGTTTCTCTGAAACTGCTATGTTTATAAAAAAATGGGTTAACCCTAGAAGCTGAAGTGGTCTGGGTGCCTAGAGTGGTCCTTTAATCTTATGGGGGTTTCACTAATGCTGGTTGTCCTTATGCAGAGGATAGAGTAATAATAGAGTAATGATATAATAGTGCAAAACGTGTCAGTCCAGGCTAAAAAGGGTTAAAGCCAGGCTTGCATGAATGTATAGGAAAGCATTACTCAATGCTTTCCTATGGACGTCCAGCGCCTTCTCACTGTGATTTTCACAGTGAGAAGCGCAGAAGCGCCTCTAGCAGCTGTCAGTGAGGCAGCCACTAGAGGCTGGATTAACCCTCAGTGAAACATAGCAGTTTCTCTGAAACTGCTATGTTTTCAGCTGCAGGGTTAAAACCTGGGTGACCTGGCACCCAGACCACTTAATTGAATTGAAGTGGTCTTGGTGCCTATAGTGGTCCTTTAATGTATTGAATTGGTCATAGAGCAAGCAGTTTTTATAGTGTTACATTATAAAAGAGAGGAGTGACAATGCATAGAATGTATACAGTGCCCAGTGCAGGCACTGTCCCTTCTTACATCCAGCTGCTTTCTCTCCCTGCCCCAGTATGCCCCTGTCACACGTGGGCTCTTGGTCCAATAATGCTTTTCTATAAGAAACATTTCATTGGACTGTGATGTGAGGGGGATGATGTAATTAAAGGCAGATATGGTTGTAAAAAATTGGAACTGATACTGGATTTAAGGAGAGTTTTTGACTTTATTATACTTTTTCCATTTAAAAAAAGAAGGGATTATCACAGCAAGGATTAAAATACACAAAACACAGTGTTTTAGCCTTTTAGTGAATACGGCACAGGCCGCATCATGCCTTTCTTTATTTGTAGGGATTATAAGAATTAGGATTCATATTGCCAAGTCCTTAGCGTTTATTCACTACAATATTTTATACCATTTTGGGTAAAATAATGTATATTTGACATGTAGCAGTTAAGGTGCTTGGACTGCCCCTATAAGCCCAAAACACTCAAGCTGTGACTATGGCAGAGCTTGATCAGTTTTCTAAAGCTGTTGCCATTTGGATTTCAATTTGCTACAATTCTTTTTAGTGAATGTATCCCTTTGGTTGACTGAACAGCTTTTAGCCAAATCAACAATAGTACTGTATTTACACATTTAAAAACTCATTCTAAAAAGCATGTGAGAGTACCCCAATCTCCTCACTACAAGTTGAATAACTGGTCATCTTTACACTGTTTTTTACCTTTTTCACACGTTTTCAGTTTATTTGCTCGACCTGCTGCAGCTAGTAGTGCTATGGCAGCTCACACAGCCCAAATTTAGCAGACTTGCAATGTCCACCTAGTTTTCTCCTACTGGGAATACACTTATACTGCATGCAAGGTAGACCTCAGTTACAATCTCAGAATTGTATCTAAATCTTATACAAAATGTAGTGTAAAATATCCAGGCTCTCACAATAGCCAAGTTTGATTTTTGTTTTGTTTTTTATTCCAAGTTGCTACATTTTGCAATTCAGAGGTTAATGTGATACAATTCAAGTTTTATTGAATAAACCCATAGTTATATTTAGCACAATAATACCTACAGATTCTAATTCTCTATTCCCCCTGTATATCCCAAATTATAATGATTTAAAGACAGAATATCATGAACTCTAGAATGTGAGAGTTACATTTTGTTTAGTTTAGCCTCATTAATATAATTTAGTATTTAACTAGCTAGAATCCACTATTTATTGAATAACCCCCCATGTGGGGAGAGAGAGAGATAAAGAGACAGAGAGCGACTAGCAGCTAAGGGTATAGCTTTAATTAGTGCAGCTGTTATGAACTACATTTCCCGTGATGCTCTGCCAGCATCTCGGTTTCTCAGTGGTGACTGCGCCCCTAGCGGCGCGTTGCTTTGACTGCAGAAAAAGGAAGGAGAGTGAAAGAGCGTCCAGTGAAACCATGGGCACGCGGCCTGCCTGGGCGCTGCGCGCTGACGTCACGCGCCGGTCAATGCGCGGCCCTTAGTGATAGCCAAGTGGCTGAGCCTTGGTTACCGCAGCTTCATGCGTTTCCTGGACCGTTTTCTCCGCCGTGCCCGCAACCTGCTGCTTCAAGCCGAGACCGGGCTGGTCGGTATGTGCGCGGGGGTGAGCTCCACGTACGCCGGGCCCCACCTGCTCAGGCTGCCAGCCGTGCCAGGCTACGAGCCCTCCAAGTGTAACGATATGCTGTTCTGCCATGCCCAGGAGCTGGGGCACAGGCCGCATCATGTCATTTATTTCCCAGGGGATGTGCAGGTGAGCTCTGGGAAGGGAGGGCCCCACACGCTGCCTGCTTTGCTCTGTTTGCAGGTGCCCACTGTCCAGGTTTAATAGTAAACCATGTTCCTGTAAGTTTAAAATCCTGAAAGCCACGTACCATAGTAATAATCCTACTAGGTTTATTCAGGAGTGGTTTCAATTGTACTCTTAACCTCTCAAGGACCAGACTTCTGGAATAAAAGGGAATCATGACATGCCATGTGTCCTTAAGGGGTTAAATATTGAATCATTAAAATGTATTGCAATTAAATTTTAAAGTAAGGCATTTGAAAATCACACCTGAGTATTTAGATGTGATTTATTAAATGATTACTTCCTCCTCCTACTAGATGGCAGGTGCAGGGGCCATTAGGTGCTATTGGGATTTAGTGGGAAATGTGTCAGCAGTTTGGATTGATTTAAGAATGATTGATTTTTACAAAATTGATGGTGGTAAAGACATGGGGAGTTCATTGCATTGTAACCTATGCATAGGGGGTTCTGATGCTTCCAGTGTCCCATTTAAGTGGTTTATTACTTGACCTGCTTCAAAAGGTAATCCACACAGTGTAGAAAGTGACCTCCTATTTTTAGTACCTTATAATATGGTGCATTAAAGAAGGCCCGAACTGGCCATCCGGCAAATGCTTGGTGGGCCGTGATATTATAGGCACCCAGACCATTTTAGCTCATTGATGTGGTCTGAATGCAGTGCCCTTCTCTGTTTAACACTGAAATGTTCATTATTGCAATTATTGAGAAACTGCAATAAATTAACTCCACCTCTAGTGGCTGTCTACCAGAGGCGCTTCTAGGTAATTTTTTGGTCACCTGATAATGGACGTCCTAACGCTGTGCATGAGCACATACCCTATGCATATGCTAAAACCTCAAAAGAAAGCAGGGATTCATTGCTTTCCTATGAGGTTGTTCTAATGCGATCGCAGTGCATGCGCATTAAAGGGACACTCCAGTTTTCCTGGCACTGCAGGTACCCTCTCCCTCCCACCACCCATCCCATGTTGCTGAAGCGGTGAAAACCCGTTTAGTGACTTACCTGAGACCCTCGCCGAGGGTTTTGGGTCCACCCACGCTCCTCACCTGCCGACATCATCCGGCGGGGGAGACCGATCGTGCATGCGCGACTGCTGGTGGGGGGAGACCAAATGCGCATTAGACTTCTCCATAGGAAAGCCTTAAAAATGCTTTCCTATGGGGAATTGAGCAACGCTGGAGGTCCTCTAAAACCTGTGTTAGAAACCAGGAAGTGCCCTCTAGTGGCTGTCTACTAGGGAGGAGTTAACCCTGTAATGTAATTTATTGCAGTTTATGAAAACTGCAGGGTTAAGGGTAGTGGGAGTTGGCACCCAGACCACTCCTATGGGCAGAAGTGGTCTGGGTGCCTGGAGTGTCCCTTTAAGTCCCAGACATTGGGGAGGAGGAGCGAAAGTGGGACCTGACCCATTGTCGATACATCAGCACTGGATTTAGGTGACAAAAAGGTTCTGCACTGTTGGGGGTGCGAGTGATGGGGGCACTATGGTGCTAGGAATACAATTTTGTATTCCTAGTCTATAGCTTCCCTTTAGATCATGCTGCAGAAAACTAGATAATAATAAAATGTAAAAAAAAATATTTTAATATGCAGCACATAAAGTGGCACTGTCATAGCCAAATCCATTTTTATTTTTTTTTATTTTTAACTCCACTACATCTAATTGTCCCCCTAATACCTCTAAGCGCCCCAGCTTACCAATTTTTTATCTTTATTTTCTGCCCTGAGCTAGGTCCTGGGTGCCGCCATCTTTGTGTGGGTAGATGAAGTCCCTGTGGGACACATCATCTGCCCACACTAAATAGCGCAGTGAGATTCCCGCGCATGCCCAATTAAACACTTGGGCATTTGAACGGAAATTTAATCTATTCATTAATTCGTCAGAAACCTCTTTGTTCGTTTGTTTGCTTTATTACAAGGAGGAAGCTACTGGCTCGCAGCTCCCTCCTTGTAATATGTAAAAATGGAAGCAGCAGGGAACAGTGCTCCCCGCCACTTCCTAAGCCCCCCATGTCCTCCGTCCTCCCTCACTTCGGGGGTCAGTATAATACCCATAATAGCATAAGTGAGATTGAGATCTCCTGAATGCCCCTACTTGCTATGCCACGAGTAGGGGTATGTCTACTAAACAGTGAACACTCCAGTTGCGAGAGTTATGAGTCAAATTCCAAATAACTTTCCCATGCTGTGTAACATGACAAAGAGCACTCTGCGCCTAATTGCAGGGCGTGGGAACTTTCCCTGCCTTTTTTAGCGTCTGTGTTTTTTTTTTTTTTGGAGGGGGGAGGGAGGTTTGCGCTCAGGATTTTTATTTTATTTGATAAGTTCGGGTATTATGGATTTTTATTTGTCCTTTTTTGGGACTGAAAAAAGAAGACAAATGGTAAGTTAATTTTTTATTTTTTTTTATTTACAGGGATTTATTTTTATTTTTTCCTACTCACTATTTTAGGGTGAGGGGGGTAGGTAGGTCTTTATTAAAAAATATATATTTTTGGGTGGGGGGGTGACTTGGGGCTTGGAGACCCCTAGTCACCTGGGTGGGAGGGTTTTTACTCAAAGTTTACTAGACATGCTCCTACTCGCGATATAGCGAGTAAGGGCAGATTAATTACTAATACCAAGTAATTTATACTTGGTATTAGTAAAGTAGGCTGAAAGACCAATCTTGGTCGTTCAGCCTTTTGGTAGATAGCTCCCTAATACCGTGGGAATTAGGGAGTTATCTTCTAAGCGGCTACAAGATGCAGCCGCGGCACGAATCGGATCGCAATTTCATTCATTTGTAGGAAATTCCGATCCGAACAAAGTCCCGAATTGCGTTCTAACACGAATGGACGAACTGCTCTCATTCTGTTAGGACAGAATTCGGAAGTTTTGCCGACGTTCGGGAATATGGGAAGGAGGCATCACAAGAACATGGAGGTGAGGTGAGAATTGTGGGGAAATTTCTCTGACCACAGGAAACGGAGCACACTTTGCTCCTCCGTGGTCAAAGCTGGTTAAGCGTAGGAAACCTTCATAAGACAAAGTAGTCCGTACTTTGTCTTATGTTTTAATGAAAACTAGAGCAGACAGGAAGAAATGAAGAACAGATCCTGACAGAGGGAGAGAAGAGGAAGCGATTGGAGAAAGGTAAGTTTGGCATGACAATGCTGCTTTAATATGAATGTTAGTACTGCCACAGGAAAACACTCCCAGACCATCAAAGATCAGGATCATTTTTTTTTTTAATTTTTTTTTTTTTTTTAAATATTGTTTCACTTTTCATACAAACCACTTTTCAATCGGGAATTATGAGATGTGTAGGTAAGCCTCTTGTCACAGTTACACTCATCAATCACATTTGAGTGACATGTTGTACCAATTTTGAATGGCAAAGAAGGAAGGAAAATTCCTATGACATCCAGGAAGCAGTAATTTGATATATGTGCAGTGATTTTTACAAATGCCTGCATTTTAGAAGTGGCTGGAAGCAATGGACTGCAGCTTCATGCTAGAATTTAGAATTCATCCAGAATTGTTAATGGTGCTTGAATTAATACTTCAATCAAATAATTATCTATGTACCAATAATATTGTTTATTTAGCGAGATATGTCAACTACAGTTTGTAATATTCGTTTTTTTTATTTTTTTATTTTATTGAAGCAAATTTTTCCATATACAACAAATATACTGCACCTTGCAATCAAATTCATGACATATGCAGCAGACAAATAGTTACATATCTTATTAAACATATTACATCATTATACATCCTCAAATTTTTTTGAAACATGACCACATAGTGTCCAGGAACAAATACAAACAAACAAACAAACAGAAAAAAAAAAGATACAGTTTATAATGTTCTTAAGGTTAGAATATTGCATGACCATTTTCTTATTACATATTGTTTAAAATTTTAGATATATTATTTATATTAAAGGACCACTATAGTGTGTTTTATATTAAAGGACCACTATAGTGCAAGGAAAACATACTCGTTTTCCTGGCACTATAGTGCCCTGAGGGTGCCCCCACCCTCAGTGTCCCCCTCCCGCCAGGCTCTGGGGAGAGGAAAGGATTCAAACTTACCTTTTTTCCAGCACGGGCGGGGAGCTCTCCTCCTCCGATCCTCCCTTTCGGCTGAATGCGCACGCGTGGCAAGAGCTGCGCGCGCATTCAGCCGGTCTCATAGGAAAGCATTTACAATGCTTTCCTATGGACGCTTGCATGTTCTCACTGTGATTTTCACAGTGAGATTCACGCAAGAGCCTCTAGCGGCTGTCAATGAGACAGCCACTAGAGGATTTGGAGGCTGGATTAACCCCATTATAAACATAGCAGTTTCTTTGAAACCATGTTTATAAAAAAAAAAAAAGGGGGGGGTTAACCCTAGCTGGACCTGGCACCCAGACCACTTCATTAAGCTGAAGTGGTCTGGGTGCCTAGAGTGGTCCTTTAACAGTGAATTTGAGGACAATTCTATTGAGCAAAGTTGGGCAATGGCAGATCTTTTTTAAAGGGACACTATAGTCAACAGGATAACTACAGCTTAATGTAGCGGTTCTAGTAAGTATAGTTAGTTCCTGCCGGCGTTTTTGCTGTAAGCCCTGCCTTTTCATAGAAAAGGCTGTGTTTACATTTCTGCCTAGGGAGGCGTCCGGTGGCAGTCACTCAGACGACCATTAGAAGCAAAGCATGGAAATGCTGAACTTTCCCCATAGAGATGCAAATTGGCCCACGGGGCATTTTGCTCTACACCCCACCGCGTCTCTTTGCCTGGCCTCATCAGAATTGATTATCTCGGCCAATCCAATGCTTTTCTATGGAAAAGCATTTGATTAGCTGTGGTAATCAATTTGATTGTGTCCTAAAAGGAGGAGAATTGGGGGCAGGCTAGCACTGTCAGACCCGTACAGCGCTGGAATAAAAAGTGAGTAAACCTACTTATTTAAGAGAGGCTGGGGGGGCTAAATACTGTTTTTGACCATATATTTTTTTTTACTCTCATTTTCCATTATACTTTTGACATTCTAAAAGCTGGCAAAGCATCATGACAGTTGCTGTTATACAACATCAAGGAATCTACCATTTGCCCAGCCCTGCTTTAGAGTGATAATCTAGATCAGACAATGTATATTAAATGCTGAACCACTAATGATATTGCTTTTTGAAACTTACTATTTTTATTTTTGTATAACTAAAATTCCAATTTTTTTCCTTAATAATTTAGAATTATAGGGATGTCATGGCAAGTCATTCAGAGAATTACCGTTGGAAGCGCTGGAGTCTTGAAGACACTGCTGCACTGTTATCGCGACGTTTTCACACCAGCCATATCTGGATAGTAAAACCTTCCCGTATGCATCTACACAAGTTTAACTGTTATGACAACTTTGTAGAAAGTAACATGTTTGGTGCACCAAAGCACAGTGGGGAGCTGCTTGCTTTCAGACAACTTCTTTCATTGCTTGTGAATGCTTTCCCAGTGGCACAGAATGTTCTGATGTCTCAGAGTAACAAATATGGTGTTAGTAGAGACTATAATATATCCTCTTTTGATGCCAGCCCCTCACATGCAGAAAATGGCTGTCACTCGGAAAGAAAAAGTGCATCAAATTGCCCTGAATACTTTACAAGTCATTTTGGTTCGCCGTTTATAAGAGATTCTTTATCGTTTACTGTAATCGGATTCAGCAAAGGCTGTGTGGTATTAAATCAACTGCTTCATGAGCTCCAAGAAGCGCATCAAGATAAAGATGTTAATTCTTTTCTTGCAAACATAGAATCTATGTATTGGCTGGATGGTGGGCACTCTGGAGGAAGTGAAACGTGGATCTCCCGACCTGATATTTTGAAAGTGTTTGCTCAGACGGGGATTGCAGTTCACACCCATGTCACTCCATACCAAGTGAGTGACTCAATGAGATCTTGGATTGGAGAAGAGCACAAGAAGTTTGTACAGATTTTGAAAGAATATCGAGTAACTGTTGATAACCACTTACATTTTATGTATGAAATGCCTTCTCTGGATAATCATTTCAGAGTTCATGAAGTATTCTGAAACCATTAAGTGTAAAGGTTAATCATAAAGTTGAATTAAACAAAATGACGAAAATAATTTAGCTTCACTGTGCAGGGAGAAAGCAGTAGTCAGTCTATGCAAACCAGATTTTTAATTGTTGGATAATAATGGAAATAAATAAGCTATAATAGTCTGCCTACAGCATGTATTAATCATACTACTGTAAGAAATTATGATTGCTGAACTATTTTATTTGAAGAGCCTATATTAATTGTGTTCTGTTCAATATAAAATGTAGTGTATCCATATCCAACCATTTTTCAGATAAAGGTTACTGTGATTAAAGGGACAATCAAAGCACCCTCACATCTGCAGTCTGTTGCTGTGGTTGTGATTCTAGAAGACCATGTGTGCAGTTCTTTCAATTTTTGACAAAGTTCTTGTTGAACCCTTTGCCCCTAAAGCTATGCTTCCAGCTTGGGTACTTTTGCCTTAAATTTGAATTCTCACTTTAGTAAATACAGCTGGCATCCATAGCATTCTTGAATCACTACCATTATATTTACTGAATATGGTGATTACCAATTTAAGAATTAATTTGAACAAAATGTTTTTGGGAACCTATTTTCAGTTTATAATTTGTAACAGGTGAGCTGCTAGATCAGGTTTTATTTTACATTAAAACACTGAAAATTGCTTGTGAATATTAACATTGTAAAAATCAAAACCTGCAGTTGGAGTTTTTACACACTTTTCAAATCTTTTTTTTTTTTATATAGTTAAATGGTGTAAATTGATTAGAAGATTCAAATCTATTTTTTTTTTTTCTTGTAAGGAAATGATTATAAACTATTGATATAAACTCCTTATGCAGAGATGCCCACTATGCAGTAATGAAATTGCAATTGTGTTACCTCCAGTTTTAAGGTAAATATGTTTGTGTTCTACATTCTACCATTCCACAGTGTTTTTTTTTTTGTTTGTTTTTTTATTAAAAGACTGTATTCAGATTTTTGAGATAGTGTTATGCTGCTAGATTGAGAAACCATATTTTTGTACACAATAGACATTGCGTTATTGCAACAGTTTGCCAAAATATGCTCTGACTTTACTATTAATATTAAGTACTAAATATATTGCACGTGTAATGGAGAATAAATCAAATAATTTGTCATTGGTTAAGTGTACAACACTGTTCTAACAGCTTTGTTTCCTTCCTCCCTCATAACATCACTAACCCTGTACAAGAGATTATTTTATTTGACTTTTCTTGGAGGGGGCAGTGAACTGAGGTGATGTAGTAAGTGGACATTAATTTCCAAGTGAAAATCTGTTGTGCAAGTGATCCAACTTTTACAGTTTATCTAAGATAGCTAATAATCCTTACAAAGGTGTATTTGACTACCTTTTGGGAGTTTTTTTGGTGGCTGTCAATTTAATATCTACAGATCTTGCAAATTACCACTTCTTCAATACTCTTAACTCATTTATAAATGGAGATTGGTATCACAGAGCCACTAGTTGCTAAGTTCCTTCGTCTCTTACTTGGATGGCTTCCATTTTGAATGTTCTTCCTCATCCCATTACACTTTTCTCTGATCTTTAATCTGGAATTCCATAAAAGACCACTTTGTTAGGGAAGCATGGCTATTTTTTATTATTATTATTTTTTTTTATATATAAATTCTTTATTTTTCATTGATAGAGGTTACATGCGTATGACATAGGAACAAATAAACACATTTTTTTTTTATCCATTGAAGCATGAAAAAACTGATACATATGCAAATTTTTTTGCACCTTGACAACCCCTTATCTATGTATGCGTGCTCCTGTCTGGTGCGTTCTATTGGGGGGTATCTCCCCTGTCTGTGTTATTTACATTCACAGTTTGCCCCTTGTCAACTTTTTTAGTTTTTCTAAGAACAACACAATGCTTCCCATCGACTGATCTAAAGTGGAGTGGTCTGTAAGTTTGAGCGTGATATATACTGGTTCATGTGTCCCTCTAATGCTTGCTCTTATACCAGTATGCCTTAGTTTCCGCCCCTTGAATCTGTTAATCGTAAGAAGCGGGGCAGTAGTTTTGTTAAATACGTAAATAGAAGAGAAAAAAAGAAGATAGGAAACGAGTGGTGGTGGTAGTCCTAAAGGCCGTCGGTGGCTAGAGCTCTTTTTATTCTTCTTGTGTGCAGGAGGGAAGTTAGGGTCGCATCCCCTCAACACAGTGGGCTATCCTCCCATGGCGCCCATATTTGAAGCTTGGCTATTAACTAGTTACATTATTTCCCTGTAATTCTCCTACCAAAGCTCACTCTATTTGTTTCATTACAAAGACTTTTCCACCTATCCTGCAATTAACCTGTTAACAAATCTTGTTTTTGTATATTTTGCACTTTTACATTTTGTGTATTTAATTATTCACTGTTTCTATTAGACTGTAAACTCAACACTTTGTTCCAGTTACATGTATGTTTAAATGTGTTGTTCTGACTTTTAATTTATAAGTAGTAATCATTGGGAATGGGCTTGTGGGGAACTCTTAAGTATGACTGGTTTCAAATGCTTTAGAGAATTTAAAAGAATGAAGAAAAAAAATGAATGACTTTACATATGTTTCAAATGTATTTTTAAAGTTGACTTTTAAGTGTATGAATTCTCTTGGGTAAAGCAGTAATTTCTCCATACAAGTCGAAATCTTAGAACACCAAAATAACGCTATATTGTGTCGGGTTTTTTTTTTTTTTTTACTAAACAAGATCAGTTTGGTAGGGCCACAAGTATTATTTAAGCATTTTGCTTGATAATGGTACTACATTTTATAATGGTTGATATCTTTTTAGAATGTTATCCATATACATAGTCAGTAAATAGTAAGCATCCTGCCAGTCTTTCAAGCAATCCTATTTGAGTGAAGGTGGATACACTGCTTTCAAAGTATCAAACATATTCCCAAATGTGCAATGTTTTATGTAGATTCTGGACGGGCTATTAACATTAAAATCCATTTTATTTATCTTTTAGTCCCTTGTTGTGCCAGTCTCCCCATGGCTACCTCTTCTGCCCTTGCTTAGATCGTTATTACTGATGATCTCAATCAATCAAATGCTTTTCTGTAGGGGGCTGCACTGTGCCAATCAACATCTCCTTCTAGAGATGCATTACCAGGGGTCCTCAAACTCTGGCCCCCCAGATGTTACTGAACTACAACTCCCATGATTCTCTGGCTATCTATGTAATTCAAAGAATCATGGGAGTTGTAGTTCAGTAACATCTGGGGGGCCAGAATTTGAGGACCCCTGCATTAGATTAATGCATCTCTAGAGGGAGTGTTTGTTATTCTCTGCTGTCATTAATTTTAATTCATTCCCAAGCAAGGAAATCTTGTTTTTTGCTGCTAGTACACAAAAAAAGGTATATTTTTGTTACTCAGGCTGTGTGTGTGTATATATTTGAGAACAACAATTTCCCATGCAACAAATATCTTGTGTAAACTATTTGATAAACAAGAAAAATTAATTACATTGGACTGTGGGTATTAATTTTTCTTAAGCTATAAAAACAAATTACTTTAAACTTTCTTCCATTTCTTCCTAGAACCACTCTCTCTTTTTCAGGATGGTGCACTGGATTTTATTTGTCTACTCTTAGAGGTGCAGGGTAGTGCATGTGTACAGCAAGCACATGTGATGTTTAAAGTGAGCAAACTTATACCAACTTTATGAAACCCTGCGATGCAGCCTGCCTCTATACGTCCGATCAACTATAATTTGACAAAGTGAACAAAACAAATTAGACTACTCCCAAAGAATTGGAGGGACTCAAAATTAATTAAATGTCTGTATGATAATCAGATACCAGGACTGTCGTACATGCTACAAATTCTCAGTCTCAGAATGACAACTTTAATATTATGAACACAATGAGCAGACAATCTGACATGTTCGTAGGGCATACAATGAATGGATAGAGAGAGGCTATATTCAAGCTTCACTAAAGAGTACTGAGGACAAAATAGAAACCCCTCAATGTGTGTGCCTAGGATAAACTTAAAGGAAATATTTATAAAATCTGAAATTCTGCCAATGTGTGTATATATAAAAACAAAGAAACCCCACATCATTAGATGACCGTTAAGACACCTTTTATCTATAGTTTAACCCCTTAAGGACACATGACGTGTGACATGTCATGATTCCCTTTTATTACAGAAGTTTGGTCCTTAAGGGGTTAAAGGAGAACAGTAATTTCTTGGAAACTTACACCATTTAAATCGGCAAAAAAAAAAAAAATCACTGTTCATAGGGTATACCTCCAATGCATAAGTTTTTCATAGAGGTATTCATTGTGGGAATGTATTTATTTTGTTTTTCATTCTGTATTCATTGGGGGTATATCTTAAAAGAGCTTGCTAAGGCTGCAATTCTTATGATCTGCAGCCTTTGCAAGCTCTTCCATTTTCTACATGTGTTCTCTACATTGCTGACTGCCATATGTGAAGGACATAGTTAATAACAATGACTGGCTGAAGGCTAAGATGGAGACACCCAGGTGTCACACCTTAAACATTTTTGATAAATATAGGAATACATAAACCTCTAATTTTAAAACCATGGGAAGTGTCTTTTAATTTAAGGGCTGACAACCCTGACATGTAGGAGATGAAGGTTCTTTATGGTTTCATGTCACCTCACCATATAGGACCGTAAAGTCCTATAGTGTTCACACCTTGAGCAGTATTTTTAGAGTGAAATAAAGTGTAATTTTCTCACTTGTTGCCAATTGCAAATAGAGTGCCATAATCAAACACTTTAGGTATCTAGATAGAAATCCTACTTATGGGAGTAGGTGTCTACTGGCTTTGAGTAAGCAGATGAAAACACTAAAGAGGTTTACTACAAATGCCAAACATTTGCCATCAAGTTCTTTTGTTATTGACTCAAATTTCACCGTTGCGGTTTTAGCCACTGAGGAATAGCCCAGATTATAAATCTTTATTCATCATTTTGGGTTAGCACTTTTTACATTTATAGTAAGGTTACACGGTCCAGTGATGAACAAAATGTGTAAAGTTTTAAAGTATCTGATTCTGCATGTAAATATGTGAGTAATTAAAATGTAAAAATGTTAAGTAAGACTAGTTATAAATCTGTAACATTGGAATTTATGTTTGGTGTAAATGTTTGTATGTTGTGCTAGCAAAGTTGCAAGCAAATATTACACTGTGAATGGTAATACTATTAAAATAAATCAATAAGCCATGTTGATCTACCTGTGCTGCTTTTGATAGCAAGATTTTCTTAAATAATGTGCATGATGAATTGTAGGTATGTGTTCTACAGTTATTTACAAAGGCCTCATACAGACTGTTCTTACATTGTTATGCTGTAAAACATGTTTAAGGCACAAAATAATTATTTACCCAAATACTGCCATTAGATGCCTTTTTGTTTGTTTTTTGCTATGCTTCTGTTAACAAATTTAAAAAAAAATAAAAGATTTTTTTTGAAAATCATCTTGATGTCATCAGTGGCTTGCTGAATAAGCAATATATGGCCTGAATTTATCTAAAAGGATCTTTGATATATCATTCATAAAAGACTGCAAACTTAAAGAGTTAGTCCAACCACCATAGCCACTATAGCATACTGTAGTAGTTGGAATATCTTGACCCTGTTTCCTGGTAATAATGCAAACTGTTATACCATGGTTTGCCATCATACATGGGTCTTTGCTAGTGAGGGTCCTTGGAGCTTTGATGGCATGCATCCAGCTGCTGCAGAAGCCAATCCTGCTGGCCATCTATTGGTGTCAAATGACTGTTCACAGCCAATGCATGTAACTCTGGCAGCAAAGGGGTTACACTCTGTATGTGCAGTGTTACTGGTAACCTCTTATACTGAAGTGGTCACTGTGATTAGAGTAACCCTTTAAATACTGCACTGCTTAAGTAAGCGTATTAATGTAAGAAATATTTTCCGGTAAAAAAAAGCAAAAACAAAAACCTTCCACTTCTGTAGCTCCAAAAAGTATTTTATAGACGTTTCAACAGGATTTTGGCCCATTTTTCTCGAGCAAAGTGCTCCAGTTTTCTCCAATTTTATGGTTGCCTTTACCAACTGCAAGTTTCAACTTTTCCATATCTGGGATTCAGATATGTACTCATAGGCCAGTTTGAAATGGGTGCTTTTTGATGCACAGTTGTAATCAAAACTAGAAAAGCTAAAATTTCTGGGGAAATTGTGTGAAGTGTTCTTGCCTCCACCAGTAGTCTACAACTGGAGTGGGTGGAGTAACTGGGTGGAGTGGCTTGAGTAACTGTTGTGTGGTTGGAGTAACTGTTGAAAGGTTGGACTGGGCAGAGTAACTGTTTGGCGTGAGTAAAGATAGTAAACATTACACTAACCAATTGATTGAACAAATTTAAAAGGTGCACATGGCAAGCTTGATAGTGAGAAATGCATTTCAACTTTTATTTATATAGCACATTTAATTGCAATGTTGTTGCCCAAAGTGCTTCACAGTTACATTAAAACATACATTTATAGAAACATTAGCAGGTGTACAAAAGGCCCTGTCTATGACATCACTTGCTGCTGCAGCCTGGCACAAGTCAGAGTATTTTGGCGGTTGCCATCTTCAAACAGTCGTATTTTAAAAACTATACATCCTACAGCGAAGAGCTTTATAATGTGAGAATGGCTTAGCCGTGGACATGTTTAGTGGCAGCAGGGATAGCTGAACATTTTGATATAAGATTTGTGTAGGTGGGCTTGAAAATGAGGGAGTGGTGGCAGTTTAGAAATCATGTCCTGATTTTTCAGCTTTTGCCAGCTCTCCCACTCTAGTTTTGAACATTTTGCCATTCATTCCTATGGGACCAATTTCGCCCCAAGAATGACGATATTCCGTGAACCATTCAGCGAAACGTTCCACAAAGTTTCGGTATATTACTGTCTATGTAGTGTAAAAACTGTGGGAGGAGTTAGGGTGGTAAATTTGGCTATAATAATATATATGTGAGAACATTAAGTGGTCTTGCTATGCAAGAACACTTAAATTATTAAACCCCCATTAAAAATCCGGTTTAGTGTCAAAATTTACAGACTTTCAGCTTTTTGCAATGAACAAATAAAACTAAAGCAATTGAAAAAGCTGAACACAATAAATGCTTCAAGTGGTTTCCCCAAGTGCAACTGAAAATGCAACTTTTAATAACTTCTCGTTTCAAAATGATTCAAGCACACCTGATGAATCCCTTGATTAGTTTCATTAGTTGGACCAGGTGTGCTTGAGCTGGAACACTTGAAATAGCTAGGGGTTTGTTGAGTGCCCTGTTTGACAGCATGTTAGAAATATGGCTGTCAAAAGAATGGTCCACAAATTTAAGAGAAGAGATCATCGCCCTTGACAAACAAGGAACAGGATACAAAAAGATAGTGAAGGCACTGAATGTTATGAGATATCGTTGGAAACTGTGTTAATTTTGGCTGCAAATTTCAATTTAGTTTTAGTCATAGTCTTTTTACTAGAAAACTATTTTAGTCGTATTTTTTATCTGAATTGTTTTAGTAGACTAAATCTCCGGTAGATTTGTCAACACAACTAAAATCTAATTGGCTTAGTTAAATTTCAACTTGGTTGAATATTGATTATAACTGTATATTGTAGGTCATTATATTGCTGGAGACCCCACGACCTGTGACCGAAACACAGCTTTCTGAAGCTGGGCAGTACATTTCTCTCCAGAATGCCTTGATTGTCTTCATTGTGACCTGCACACATTCTAAACACCTAGTACCAGAGGCAGCAAACCATCACTAATTTTCCTCCATCTTTCACATTAGTGCTGGTGTTCTTTGAAGCTTCTTTTTCGTTCTGTAAACATGGAGTTGTGATTTGCCAAAAAGCACCCTGGCAGCCAGTTCCTCTTCTGACATCATTACTGATGTTTTTGGGCCAATCCAATATTTCATTTCATTTGGACATTAAAGTGCAAGCACGGCAATCACCATGCTTTCCAATTGGATGCTTCTCACAGATAAGCCCATACTTCTCTAGGAGAAGAATTAACAGTATTTGGCAAATCTGAATGTGAGTATTTTTAATAACTAAATAAACATAGAAAAAAATTAGGTCTGCGCTTCCAGTTGTAGTGTGCACCAATATGCTACCAAGCATTTATTTGAAGGATATGTCAGGCAAAGTTTCGGGCACAAGCCCTTTTTCAATGCAAATTTGCATTGAAAAAGGGCTTGTGCCCAAAACGTTTGGCTTTTATGTTCTTTAAATAAATGATTGGTAGCACATTGATGCACACTACAAGTGGAAGCGCAGATCTCATTTTTTCTATGTTTATTTGGTTTACACTGCTGAAACTACAGTGGGAGGAGCTGCAGCTCAGGATAAATTTTGTATTTTCAACCCTTTTAGTATTGCAGTTACCTATGCATCTACTCCTTTTCTCTATTTTCAATAAAGTATTCAATGAGGAGGTGCCTTTATAGGCTGTCTGACCATTAAGGGCATTCGAACTGACAAATGTAAACAGTGCCGTATCTTACGAATAATACAGTTGACATTTGTCAGAGTGCAGGTTGCAGATGTAGTGGCATTGGTGCATATAGTATCTCTTTAATAGACATACAAAGTTCCTGAATAGGCTTGAAAATAAAATAAAAAGTTGTGATCTCTTCCTACATGTACTCTCCTCCCTCCAGCATCCTATCTGACCCTCTCAGAACACACTACAAAGCAACCCAGGCCTGTACTAATGTTACTGCCCACCTGTTAGCTGCTCACACCTTCCCTAGTGGGTGCTTGATGGGAACCAATCACACTGAGGTAATTCTAACATTGTATACATTCTGAGACTCTGTAACTGCTGACTCTCACTACTTATCCCAATATGTGTTCTTCTATTTCTAATTTACTAACCCTATTCAAAATACCGATGGACTTAAAGGTTTGAAGGTTTATTCCCACTTGTTTCAAAGTACTCACTAAACTAGGAACTGTAAAGATTAATTTCATGTCAAAATAGATTAACTAGAAATATTCATCAACTTTATTTCTCTTGTTTTTTTCTATTGTTTGCTAATATTTGCAGTTCCCAGTTCCGTGAATGTCCTTATTTTGTTATATGAACATTGCAGGTAACACAGTGGAATAGGATGTTTTATTCCAGCTTGCCAAGAAGCTTTATAATTCTGCAAGTGTTCCCTTTTGAAGATTGATCCATGCAGCTGAAGGCATCTGTACAAAGAAAATGACACATCAAGCTCTAGGTGTGGTAACACTTCTTCCTGCCAGACTTGCCATTGCATCACAAAGTTCTTAAGCTTCATCTTGTCAGGGTGGCGGTCCGGTGCCCAGGACCCAGACACTGTCCGGGCGGCAGTGCGAGGACCGGGACCCAGTATGCCTGATGTTCAGAGTAGGAGTCACAGTGTGGTGGTGGATTAGCAGGGTCTGGTGCAGGGTAACCGCACGCCTCCTGGTGTTGAGCACCAGCGTTTGTGCAGCCTCAACCAGAACCCTGAATCAGCTTATGCGGATCCCAGGAACTAAGAACAGGAATTAGGCAGACCTCCCAGAGCTCTGCAGCAAGAATGTATCCAGTACAGAAACAAGGCAAGGCAAGACTCAGATAGTCACCAAACATGAAAACAAGACAGAACTAGTAGAACCCAGAACCAGAGAAGGATAGGAAGCTAAACCCAGAGCATGTACACAATACGTAAGGGGGCATTAACTAAACAGGGGCAGGGCAGGACTGTACATGGACTGGGATTACAAAATAAAACAAGACAAGATATAATAGGCAAAACAAGAGGAGACATAACTAAGCACTCTATATGAAAAGTATGGGGATTTAGTTACATTATATGATCATACATTGCATAAGCCTGCCACAACGTCAAGGTACCCCATATTCTGCAGGTCCTACACTGCCTAATGATAGCTAAAACAACCAAAAAGACATATATAGCACTTACCTGCAAGAAAGGGCAGAAGCCTTGAGCAGCTGCCTGCAGGAACTCTGAAACAAAGGGAATGATGGAAAACAAACTGGTGTGGCTACATAAAACAAACATTTAAAGGAAACCTGGAGACTGGGAATACCAGGAATGGATTACAGGAATGAACCCAGAAATCCCAGCAATAAAGAAAACCAGACATAGACTAGAAAACCAGAAAAACAAAAAAAAAACTAAACAAGAATTGTAAAAAGAGTACTGGATACCAGAAGCCAAGGCCAGACATCTCCACAGAACAGAGCAGGATGTGACATCTAAAATATAGAAAGTCGTTTTTATTCAAGTTTACTGCTGTAGGCTTTGGTTTGTATCCGTAAAACCATTTTTCTTGCATAGAAGTCCTTGTATTCCTCTGGAAGCTCTTCCAAAGTTTTCAATGCCCGGTCTAAGATCTGTACTGCTCTAGAAGCGGCCGTGGGATCTTTGTTTCCATAAGTGTCTGTCTTATCATAGCACTCGGAAGGTAGGTGTTTCCAAAAGACATTGACTCCCACTCCAAATTCTTCAGCAACAGTATTGTGAAACCATAATGCTGTATGCAAAACAAGGGACAAAGAAAGCACCATTTATTTTATAGATATATACACACACCACACTTTTTCAGATATAGTAGTTATACAGAGGGATTGATTCACTGTGCAGAGCGGTGTGTGTCACTCAGTATCAAAGTACATTTTAATCTGTGACTTAATTGGTTTGCACACCAGCAATCACTCGGGAGCTTGTGTTAATACTTTATTTAGCTTGCTGTATCCCTGTATATGCAAAAAATAAAACATAACTGGCATATTCTTTACATAATAACACTTGTATTAATGCCTTTAAGACCGATTGAACTGGGATAGAGGGGGAAATAAAGAACAAATAGTGTTCTCACCGGGAATAAAAAGTACATCTCCTGCTTCCAAAAGGCATTCATATCTCCTGGCTTGGGAAAAGAGGGGATATTTGTCCAGGTCTGGATTATCCACATCCAATACTTCTGATTTGTCACCTAATAATAATACAAAAGGCAGTTAATTTTAAATTCTTTATTTTTGCAGTGCGTATAGTGGTTACAGGCATACATATGGTACCCCAACGGCATTCCATATGTTGATATCTAGACATTAGTTACAGTGGGGGGTAGATAGACAATGCACTTTTTTTTTTTTTTTGTTACGTAAAGATAACAAGCTAATAGGTGTCGCTTTATGGTATAACATGCTTGGTTAAAATTGCGTTTAACTTCAACTAATTGCACATCAGATTGTAGTAATATTGCCATGACAGTAATCTAAGACAATTTAAGACATAGAGGTTGCTTGACAAATTAATCCAGAAGGGCATCCAGACGCAGCTCTACCAGACAGTACATAGTTGTAGAAATCAACAGTACATGCAATTTAACATGAGTATAGTAGACGCTTTTCATCCCCTGAGTCTAGTAGGGCACTTTGCTTAGTAAGGTATGCATTCTGGAATATCATTCTATGTGGCATTCTTACTGGTTCTGCACAGACCTATACTAGGATACAGGCAACAAGCTAGGCACATAATAGTAAATAGGCTGTGCTAGAGTTACAGGCTATTCTGGCGTGTCACATTTTTAAATATTAGAGGATTAGCTGTCTAGACAACTGAGTAAATTTTAAAGTAGGTAAACTTATGCAACATAGTGAGCATGTCAATGGGTTACATTTGTACGGATTAAGCCATCAAAAATGCGTGAGTGTTTTATTTATTTTTTACCCCCCCAGGTCCACTTCAGCAAGATGAAAGTCCTTGGCTGTGTGGCTTGAGACCCGTCCATGCAGTACAAAGGCACAGGAACCCGGGAACCGCCGTGTCAGTTGCAGTCCAGCCGAGTGGCAGTGTGCTAGTCCCCCTGTGGTGTGCCTGCGGTGCAATCCAGCGCCTGCCTCGGGCAGGAGACAGATCCCCGCCGCCATGTTGTTATCCAGTGCGATCTTGTAGTCGCGTGCTGTCGGTCTCGTGTTCCTGCTTCTGCGCGGCTATCCGAGAGGGTCAGCGTGTGTGGCTCCGTCGCCGAGGCTCCGTCTCCCACCGTGAGTGTGCCTGGCTGTGTGTGGGTGGTCGCTCGCAGGCGCCGGTCTCCACCCGTTGTTTGTGATTATGCCTGCGGAGGTACAAAGTGGCTCCGGCTTCTCCACCACGGTTCAGCTTGTCCCAGGATGCTTGCCTGTTTCTTTGCTTCCCATGTTGGCTTGCCGGCAGCGTATAGTGGAGACGTGTTTCTTCCTTCATGCTTGGGTAGCTCGCCATGTGGTCTCCGCCATTTTGGTTGCGGTCTCTGCGTTTTGGGGTGGCTCTGTAGCAGCCTGGAGTGCTGGTTCTTCCGCATGTCGGCAGGCCCAGGGTGGGGACCGGGATCACCCCCGCCGGTCCAAAGGGGGGGGAGACAGGGCCGGACCCCCCTAGCCTCATGCTTTGCCTTCACCGCTGGTGGGCAGGATAGCTGGGCAGCGGCCGTCCACCCCGCTCACCGCCCAAGCGGTCCCCATCGTGGGTGACGGAGAGAGCGCCCCTCCGAGGGACTAGAACTTTGCAGCAAGCCTCTCCTCGGAACCAGGGTGGCTTCTTGCACTGGGTAGCTGTTGCCAGTTGTTAGGTAAGTATAAAGTCGAGTTTTAGTGTTAAAACTGGGAGAGATTGCAGGAGCTGCACGATCGTGCGACCGCTCAGCATGGCGGTCCGGCCCCGCCCCCTCACAAAAGGCAGTTAAAGTAAACCTACGCTAGACAAGGTTTCCGTTTTCTCCTAAACTAAAATGCAGTTTGCTTTCCTCACTAAAGCAAGAACATTAAAGGAGCAGTTTACGCACCATAACCACTGCAGCCTACTGTAGAGTTTATGGTGCTGGTGCCAGGAGTCACCTGGTGCTGTCGCACAGTATTTAAAATGCTTTTCTTTTGTTGACACTTATTTAGGTCCCACAGAAACCTTCAACTCAGCCCCCTCTTCTAATATTGCTAATGTGGAACATCCTCCTTTTTTTTTTTTTTTTTATAGATTTAGCTTTACTTGGTTGTTTGTAGGGCCCATGCCTGCTGTTGTGGTTCCCGGGTGAGCCAGGTGTCAATTTTGGTGTCGCCGGGTGCACAAACGCTTCCTTGGTCCATCTGGCTTGGTTTCGGGTGAGTCCCGCCACTGCGCCCTGAGATATCGGCATATTTGAGCCCTTGTAGCTGGAGCTCACGCTATGTGCGACTCGTCGGCTCGCCTCCGCCCCCGAACATCCTACATTAACATTAATTACATCAATTCCACCCATGTGTGGAAGAAATTCATTGGCTGAGAACAACAGTCAATTAATTCCTTCTAAACTGATATATCTATTGCGGAAGGGGAACTTCAAAGTGAATTTCAAATTTAAGGTCAAAATAGCCGAACTGGAAAAACTTTCTGTCAGCTATGCTTTCAGTTCAGCTACTCTGGCCTTAAATTTGAAATTCACTTTGAATTCTTAATTTAGAAATAACCCTGTTAGTCATTACAAGGAAGGGGTTAGACTGTTTAAAATCAGTCCTGGCACCATGCCCACTACAGTAGGGTATAGTGGTCATGGTGTCTAGACTTTCCCTTAAAGACCATTTAAAAAAAAATAAAAAATCTCTGCAATATTAAAGGGACAATATAGTCACTAAAACAACTTTAGCTTAGTAAAGCAGTTTTGGTGTATAGATCATGCCCCTGCACTTTCACTACTCGATTCTCTGCCGTTTAGGAGTTAAATCACTTTGTTTATGCAGCCTTAGCCACACATACATGCATGTGATTTACACAGCCTTCTTAAACATTTCCTGTAAAGAGTCATCTAATGTTTACACTTCCTTTATTGCAAATTCTGTTTAATTTAAAATGTCTTATCTCCTGCTCTGTTAATAGCGTGCTAAACCCTGTATGCAATTAAAGTTCAATTTACAGAGCAGGAGATCAATAATTTTAGGGTAAGTTACAGCTGATGGATAATGAAACCATTTTGTTTTTTTATGCAGGCTGTGTCAGTCACAGCCAGGGTAGGTGTGTATACAGCTACATAAATAGAAACAAAAGTGATTTAACTCCTAAATGGCAAATAATTGAGCAGTGAAACGTCAGAGGCATGATCCATACACCAAGACTGCTTGTTTTAGTGACTACAGTGCCCCTTTAACTGACCATCATGCCTCTTTATAAAAAAATTAAAAAATTAATTAAGTTACAGCTGATAGATAATCAAACCATTTTGTTTTTCACGCAGGCTGTGTCAGTCACAGCCAGGGAGGGTGTGGCTAGGGCTGCATAAATAGAAACAAAAGTGATTTAACTCCTAAATGGCAGATAATTGAGCAGTGAAACTTCAGAGGCATGATCTATAAACCAAAACTGCTTCATTAAGCTACAGTTGTTTTAGTGACTATAGTGTCCCTTTAAGTACAATGGATTACAACAAATACAATATAATTTGTATTTGTGCAATTACATCATTATTTTTTTTGGGAAGAATTACTTTGCTTAAATACTTGATTTAATCATTTTTTTTGTTTTGAAACAACAAATATATACCTGCCAAGTACAAATATGGTGCATCTCGGGGACTGTATAGTACAACTCGTTTCTTGCCTGAAACCTGGATAAGCAGGTTATCCATTACCTGAAAGTACAGAAAAAAAACTGTTAGTGCCAAACAGCAATATCATCTGTTATTACAAATGACGATGACATTGAAAAGTTTATCTACAAACAATTACTCGGTTTGCTCTCATATTACATCTTCATGGTACTGTAGGTAATTTATATCTTCATTCTCATTAAAATATGCTTTCAGCGTTTACTAAGCTTGATGGATAAAAGTTAAAACTAATCTGTCAGGGTATTTACTGTTACCTAGCGCTCGGTCCGTGGCACTGCCATCTTCCTCTGCTTATCAACTCTAAACTCTCCACGGAGGAGACTCCACAAGACCACGGCATCCTCTTTTGACCTTCTCGCACAAGAGTAATGAGTTGCGAAAGACATCCATTGTGCACTGTACAAATAGATGCCTTTTTTGCCATACTGATTCATGGCTGATGGAAAATTGCAAGTTATAGCAAGCGGAAGCTCAATAAAGCGTTGCCTGTTATCCTAGATTGACAGAATTCAATACATACATAGAATATAATCCCTACTTTTCTTATGTACCGTATATATCTTTTGATTATGTTGGAATTTCAGGGACTGTTATCTGTTTGTTTGTTAGTTTATTTTATTCATTAATTCTTTACATGGTTCTAGCATTGTTCAGAGTGTAGTTGCTTGGGATTTCTGTGGCTAGTTAGTTGCCATTCTCTATAGTCATGGAATAATTTTTTTTTTTCTCTGAGCAGAATACAGAGGGTATTATGTGAGTAGCTATGGTGTGTGGCTAACATGTGGCTAGATACAGAAACAGAATACGGAGTAACTCTTTTTTTTAACTTCTATGAACAAGTCCAAAATTCATACAGAAGCGCAAGTCATGTGTTCAGAAACCTCTACTTTCATATTTGGCAGGTACACTTTAAATGATTTGTGCTACAGACGATGATACACATCTAATTCTGCATGAATTATTGCCAAGATAGTATTTAATCCTAAAACATGCATGACATCCTGTAAGTTTGACATCATTAATCTTTCTTTGATACTCTACAGGATATTATTAAAGCTCTTCCGCTGAATCAGTACAATGCACAGGATATGGTGGCCGTTGGACATGCAGCCTCTAAAGCAAATATGTTGGGTAAGTCTTGCACAGTGTAATATAACATACATCATAGTGAGTCCAGAGCTGTAGTCCTGGGGAGCTGATGCGGAACACACTGGAGAAGAACTGGTCTTTGTCAAAGAATTGAGGAATCTGGATGTCAGCTGCCAGCCTGGGGAACTGATTACCGATGTCAGCAATATCCTGAATGAAGACAGAGTGTGTGGCATCTATAAATATTGCTTGTTTTGTATGTTTGTACTTTTTAAATTCTAGATTACACATTACTCTACATTTCATTAACCCTTTTAGGTTATGATGCCAATTTGAGCTATTTACAGTTTGATGTTTTTGTGATTTAAAATTACTGGTTTCATAGGTGTGCGCAGCCTATTGCATTAGGGTGTGCACCCTAAAGCACAAGCACACGCTGCATATATATACACACATATACACACACACTGCTGTATGTGTGTGTGTGCTGTGTGAGGGTGCTGTTAGTGTGATGTGTGTGTGACGGTGCTGGTAGTGTGCAATGTGGGTGAGGGTGTTTGTGTGTGCGCGCTTGTGAGGGTGCTGTTAATGTACTGTGTGTGAGGGTGCTGTTTGTGTGTGTGTGCGCTTGTGAGGGTGCTGTTAATGTACTGTGTGTGAGGATGCTGTTTGTGTGTGAGGGTACTGGTAGTGTGCTGTGTGTGTGTTTGTTAGGGTCCTGTTTGTGTTTGTGAGGGTACTGTTAGTGTGCTGTGTGTGTGTGTGAGGGTACTGTTTGTGTGCCGTGTGTGATGGTGCGGTGTGTGTTTGTGAGGGTGCTGTATGTGTGTTGGTGCTGTGTATGTCTGTGGGTGTTGTATGTGTGTTGGTGCTGTGTATGTTTGTGGGTGCTGTATGTGTGTTGGTGCTGTGTATGTGTGCAGGTGCTGTATGTGTGCGGGTGCTGTATGTGTGCGGGTGCTGAATGTCTGTGGGTGCTGAATGTCTGTGGGTGCTGTATGTCTGTGGGTGCTGTATGTCTGTGGGTGCTGTGTGTCTGTGGGTGCTGTGTGTGTGTGGGTGCTGTGTGTGTGTGGGTGTTGTATGTCTGTGGGTGTTGTATGTCTGTGGGTGCTGTATGTGTGCTGTATGTGTGTGTGCGATTGTGGGGGTGGAGGTGGGGGTACATTACTTGCTATCCCCCCTCCCTTTTTACCTTTTGTAGGGAGGGGGGATCGTGCTGCTGATTCCATCCCTGGTGGTCCAGTGGAGAGTGAACCCTAGCCCCTGTGGCTCTTGCGAGATTTGAGCGTTGCCGTGGCAACCCTGGCAACGCTCATATCTCGCGAGAGGAACCCGGCAGAGCTGCGGCAATAGCTCCGCCGGTCCTCTCCTGCCTCCCTCCCTGCATGTGGGTCGGTAGGGAGGGAGGCTGAGAGCAGAGCCGGTGCTCGGATAGTGCCGGCTCTGCATGAGCCGACAGAGGAGATCCTGAGATCTCCCCTGCCGGTCTCAATATACATAGGCGTGCCGCGCGATTAGGGTGTGCCCAGGCACACCCGGCACACCCCGTGCGCACGCCTATGACTGGTTTATTTTTCAGTGATAAACACCCATCAATGTAATTGACATTTCAGTCTGATCCACTGAAAAAAAATGTTCAGGGTCAGACTGAAACATTGATATGATTTGTCGGTTTTTATCACTGAAAAATAAACCAGTAATTTAATTCACAAAGACCTTTTGAGGACACTTTTCTTGAAGTTTAAAAATATATATAAAAAATGATTCTCTCACCCACATGGGTGGTAAATATTTTTTTCCTCATTTTTAGGTCCTCTACCAGAGACCTAGGAGTCTGAGGGTTCTGCACAGTATCTCTTATATTATCTTTACTGCGCTAAGATACATACACATATATATTTATTTGTGTTCACGGCACCGAGGCAACAAGTAAGAATATGCTTGACGTAACACAGGAGTATATGCAAGTCAGTTGTGGTGTGCCAAAACCAACGTACTGGTAGGCCTGTAAAATAAAGAGGGTCCGCCTATGAGGGTGTAAAGAAAATGGTAAATCTGTAAAAGGGGGAGTGAAGGAAGGGGTATGTAAATCGCTGACTAGGAAACGGTATAGGAGCAGGAAAAGGAATGCTTTAAAAAGGGTTACAAGCCCCTCCCACAACTCCAGCATACGCATTTACATATATAAAACATTTTGTAAAGTTGTTGGTTTTTTTACTTTATTTTCAAAACTAGTTATTCTTTTGTATTAAAAGTATGAAATCATAGCTTGTGTATAATTCAGTATATAGGCTTCTTTGAATGTCTCACTGAAAACTTAGAGTGGCACAATAATACTCCTCTGATTTGATTTATTCATTTATATCCTATTCCATTCTGTGTTTTTACTTTTTACATTTTACCTTCCGAGGGTCTTCACCCAAAGAGCGTAGATAGTATTTTTCATCCTAAAAAAAGAAACAGAAAGGATTAAGTTTGACTCAATGGGATTTCTGTTTTCCAAACCAGAGTTTGGAAAAATCTTTTTTCATAATTCAAAAGTTTATAAAGACTGAACGCAACCATGACAAAATGCACATTAGGTTCAAAAATGAAAGAAAATAAAAATAAATGGAAATGGACATTCCTTGGTCATTATACTGCATTGAAACATTAACCCCTTAAGGACACAATTTCTGGAATAAAAGGGAATCATGACGGAATATTTCCTTAAGGGGTTAAAGCACCAAAGCAAAACATGACCCAAAAAAAAGGGTTCTAGATAGAAGTAATATAACCGTTACCAAGGTAACTCGTGTTAAGGTAACAGTAAAAGGTAGCAATATTCTGACAGCAGTTTAAAACTTGAAAAAGTACCCGCATTATGTGAATGTTCATTGTTATATCAACAGGTAACTGAGGGTATTTGGTTTGCATTTTTGTGGGGGGACAGGAAATATAGGGGGAGTTATATGCACTTTTGAGACAAAATGAACAAAAAACCCTAAAGTCTGCTGAAATACCATAAACTATAAAGTATGTATGTAAATGGTACAGGTGATTACCTCAGAGATAAAATATTCGTTGTGCTTATTCTCGGCTGCCCTGTGTACAAATTTATTGAATGGTAGAGTTCTGGAATTACATTAAAAAAAAACAAGCAAAGTTAGAACAACACCATCAATTCAGCACTTGTGTATGCTACTTGTTACATGTAGATTCTTGGCAGAAAACCAGTTTAGAACTAGAATGATGTATACTGCAATAAGCAGCAAAATGAATGTGGAATTATGATAAATTAAAGGAAAATTTTAATCTATCTTTATAAATATAGATAAATATATATATAGAAATATAGTTCATTTAGAAAATCTCTCCAGTTTGGCTATCATGGCCTAAAATGAGCAAAACCCTTGTCAATTCTCTACAAGTCTTATTCAGCAAACAGTAAAATGTAATAAAATGAAAAACAAATTGCAATATTTAAAACAAATCGTTCAGCTGGAAAAATATCCTTTAATTACCGTAATCTGTTTTTCCTGCTTGGATATCTTGCCCCAAATGTTCCATTTATTATTTCAATTCATCGCAATTCAGTGTTTAGTAAATAAAACCTATAGGGATTCATATCAGAAGGTCTCCCCACCTTAGTATGGGTGCCCATGGCACAGCACTCCAATGTCACCTCACACCAACTATAGCTGGCAGTCTGTGTTTTGGGATTATCAGCCCCTTTGTTGTAAACTTGAATAGACCTTGGTAGTCTCTATCCAAATTATGTGACTACTCATCAGCAGAGATTTACAGTTTTTGGGACATTTAACTTTGTGTGGTTGGACGTTCGTTAAAATGTATTCAGTGTTCATTGTATGTGTACCTTTCCCTCACCCAATTCTGTCTCATGCTGCTTTCACATGTATCTGTTGGTGTAGGAGAATGCTTTCAGACCACTCCAAGCTGGCTTTCATGCCACACCATTCAAGTCTCACATAGGGTCCATACTTCTTAAACCCTGTGACCAGGCCATTAAACCCAGATTCCTCTCCACTTCATCCAGTTTGTGTTTGTTGGGCATTTGGGTGATTTACTCTTCATTGTTGCAGCTGCACTTTGAAATATAGCACTACTAGTCAAGTAGTACTAGAAGGAATCTAGATCTTTGTAATTTTTCCCCTTAGAACCCTGTGGCAAAATAGATTTGGAACATAAGTCAGGGATCATTCCTTCTATAAACGTTATAGGGTCTGTTCATTAAAGAGCAAATTGTGGAGAACTGCACATCAGTGTTAAATTTGGCGGCAAATTTCAATTTAGTTTTAGTCATGGTCAAAAGACTAAAAAGCCATTTTAGTTTTAGTCGTATTTTAGTCATCTGGATTGTTTTGGTTTTAGCCAACTAAATCTCGAATACATTTTATTCGACTAAATCTCCAGTAGACTTTAGTCGACAAGACTAAAATTTAATGGGTTTAGTTAAAGCCTCTGTCTCTTTTGCACCTTCCCCCAGTCCCTCTGTGTCTCTTTGTGTCCTCCCAGCCCCTCTAGTTGTCTCTCTCCCAAGCCCTGGTGTGTCTCTTTTGCCCCTTCCCCAGTTCCTCTGCGTCTCTTTGTGTCCTTCCAGCCCCTCTAGGTGTCTCTCTCCCAAGCCCTGGTGTGTCTCTTTTGCCCCTTCCCCAGTTCCTCTGCGTCTCTTTGTGTCCTCCCAGCCCCTCTAGGTGTCTCTCTCCCAAGCCCTGGTCTGTCTCTTTTGCCCCTTCCACAGCCACTTTGTGCAGTGTTTGACAACAAATTTCAATTTAGTATTAGTCTTACTAATTGTTTCAGTCACCTGAATTGTTTTAGTTTTAGTCAACAAAATTAATTCTGCTGCACATGGCAAATCCCCAATTCAACTATATTGAATTGGCCTAAATTTTGCACATGTTAGTTTCAGTACACTGCAATTCAGTGTATTAGCCAAAAACTCTATAGAGACGTCAATTGCAAGTAGCTGCTGGGAAGGGATAATATCACAGGATGAAGTAACAATTAAAAGTAGACATGACTCTTTCACTTCTCTATGCATCTTGCTGTTTAGCTGAAAAAACAGTCTCAGTAACAACATATTTTCAGCAAAGTTAAAGGGACACTATAGTCACCTGAACAACTTTAGCTTAATGAAGCAGTTTTGGTGTATAGAACATGCCCCTGCAGCCTCACTGCTCAATCCTCTGCCATTTAGGAGTTAAATCCCTTGTTTATGAACCCTAGTCACACCTCCCTGCATGTGACTTGCACAGCCTTCCATAAACACTTCCTGTAAAGAGAGCCCTATTTAGGCTTTCTTTATTGCAAGTTCTGTTTAATTAAGATTTTCTTATCCCCTGCTATGTTAATAGCTTGCTAGACCCTGCAAGAGCCCCCTGTATGTGATTAAAGTTCAATTTAGAGATTGAGATATAATTATTTAAGGTAAATTACATCTGCTTGAAAGTGAACACAGTTTTTTTTTTCATGCAGGCTGTGTCAATCAGAGCCAGGGGAGGTGTGGCTAGGGCTGCATAAACAGAAACAAAGTGATTTAACTCCTAAATGACAGTGAATTGAGCAGTGAAATTGCAGGGGAATGATCTATACACTAAAACTGCTTTATTTAGCTAAAGTAATTTAGGTGACTAAAGTGTTCCTTTAAGTATTGATCTTTACACCGTGCTAAAAAAAAAAATGACCTGAAAGCTAAACAAACACAACTGATAAAAACATGCAGTGTTTATTAAACTGGCATGACCTGACTGAGATCAAGGTGAAACAACAACAAAAATAGTACACAGACAAAGAGGCTTTTCTGTAGTCAAGTCAAAATAGTTGTTCCTCGACATTTATAACATGCTGATCACCTATAAATGAAGTTCTTCTTGATAAAATCCATCTGTGGCATCTCAGATACATGTATTTTCACCTCGTGATCTCCACCGATCTTGCTCAAATAATCCACAGTCCATCTTGTTTTGCAAACTCCCAGATCTAGGCCTTTCAGCACAACTGGCTTCCTCTAGACAGGAAACACAACATTTTCCAAGTGACTGTCAGATAATTATTCCATTAACAAAAGAAAGATACATTAAAATGGTGGGTGCATATTTTAACTCACCCTGTGCTCACAGCTTAATAATGGATAGAATTTATATTTATTATGTGGAAATGTAGGGGGCAGTCTCTGTGTGCTGGAGAGGCTTTTTTTTTTTCATCAATCCACTTCAAAACGACTTGGAGAGAGATTATTGCCAATAGACTCTTGGAAACATGATTACTACACTTAACTGTATTGTTAAGTTATATTTTAGAATGCCTTATTAAAGGCGGAAGACTAAATCTGTTAATTCCATAAACAAAGCATTGCAGTAAACTGAAAGCCGAATAGAACATTTTAATAAAAAGACCAAAATAGACCATCTGGAAACATTCTTCAAGTCAGCAACAGTCTGAGCTTGGCTAGTTTAGTTAAACACTTGCCAATTGGTTTTCAGTTCATAATTAAATGCTTAGTCCAAACACTTTTGAAGTGGTCATGGTGCAAGGCCCTGCATGTTCAGTGTTTCCGTATGAAATGCTTCACATACTTAGATATTTATTTTACTGTTGCCAGAGGTATAACTCCAGAAGCATTCATTAGCCAGCCTGGAATGAGAGTTAAAGGGACACTCCAGGCACCCAGACCACTTCTGCCCATTGGAGTGGTCTGGGTGCCAGCTCCCACTACCCTTAACCCTGCAAGTGTAATTATTGCAGTTTTCATAAACTGCGATATTTACCTTGCAGGCTTAACTCCTCCTCTAGTGGCTGTCTAATAGACAGCCACTAGAGGTCACTTCCGTGATTATAGCACACGAAAAGTGTGCTATAGCGTTGCTGGACATCCTCACGCTATGTGAGGACCTCCAGCGTCACTGATATCCCCATAGGAAAGCATTGAAAGTATTTTTCAATGCTTTCCTATGGGGAGGTCTAATGCGCGTGCACGGCATTGCCAAGCAGGCGCATTAGGTCTCCCCCGCCGGCGGCTGCGCACGCGCAATAGGTCTCCCACACCGGATGACGTCGAAGGGGGAGGAGCGTAGGCGGAGCCTGACCCAGGGTCGAGGGACATCGGCGCTGGATACAGGTAAGTCACTGAAGGGATTTTAACCCCTTCAGCAACTTGGGATGGGGGGCGGGAGGGAGAGGGAACCTGCAGTGCCAGGAAACCGGTTTGTTTTCTTGGACCTGGAGAGTCCCTTTAATTCCAGGCACATTCGATGCACAGAGGTTCATTCTTTGGCTTAAAAGCAATTACCCAATTGCAGAAGCTGGATGCTGGTTTAGGCTAACTATGACATGTATTTACGCACATGTAGATCGAAGTTTGGCAAAAATTCACCTTCTAATATGGTTTTATAAATACATGAATATTATTGTAAAATGTTTGCTCACAATAACACTTACCAGAGGATAGATTTCTTGGAGGAACTTGTTTTTATCGACATCTGTAAATTGCTGCACAGGAATTCTGCATTGTTCAAGATCCATAATGAAAGCTGTCATCATAATAAGCATATCAGTAATGCAGGTAAATGCACTGCTACAGACGTGGTGATCAAGGTAATGTAATTAAACCAATGGACTATATATGATTAGGGAGGGTATGGCCCCTTAGTAAGTATTTTTATGTGAACTTGCACTACTTCTCCATTTTGATAATCAGCACATGAAAAGTGCTCCCTGTCTGTAATAAAGTGGCTCTGTCACCTCAAACTTACCTTTCCTCGTGTGATTCCTGTTGTCCTGTCTGTCAATCTGGTTTTTTTTTTTTCCCCTCTTCTTTTCGGTTTGATCTTTCTTAAAATACATAAGGAAAATTAGGGACTGTCGTACGTTGGATTGCCGCACGGCAGCCACGATGTCTTCAGTCCCACACCGATCTGGCCTAGAGAGAACGGCGCACGGCGTTCAGTTGCTCCTCGTGCAGAGCAATGTCTGCACGCTCTGTCTTCTTGCGAGGCTGCAAGATCACTATGGCAGCCTTGTGCCACCTACAGGAGTCCTTAGAAATTACAGGACCCTGTTTTATGACATTAAAGTGACAGGTCATATTATTGGGACACCATCTGCCCTTCACAGATTACACCCCTTTGTGTGATTTGGTGCAGGGTGATGATGCTGTCCAATAGAATTTTGGTTGTCCCTATTTAAACTCTGCTCTTTGTGAAGAAAAGACCTTGTCACGGTTTATTCTACCCGACAGTGTGTATTGAGTACTTGTTGTTTTTTTCCTGTTTTTGACCCGGCTTTGTATTTGACTTTTCTGATTCTCTTTTTCTCGGACTTTGGCTTGTTTATCCGTTTTTTTTTTAGTACCTCTGGCGTCCTTGACCTTGGCTTTCTGTTTTTGACTATTTAAAGCACACACTAACCTGGCCACTCTAGGACCAGTATACGTACCTTTCTCTCTCTAATTCTTCCATTCTGGTTTCTGTTTCTCTATACTCTGTTTGTAGGGGTTACCCAATCTTGACAGGGACTACTTTTCCTTATGTGTTTTCTTCAGCAAAGGGTGGAGCTTACGTCAATAACCACTTTCTTTGTGAAGACCGAGAACATTTTTTCATAATACTTACCTGCCTGTTGCATCTCTTGGACTCACAAGTCGCAAGTCCACATGTCCATTACAGTAGAGGGAGCAATGGACATATGCAAGATCTGAGGAAGGCAAAGATGCAACGTCACTGCTAGACTGAAGAAGATGGCGGCAGCGGTTCAAAGCCAATAACAATGCTTTCACATAAGAAACCATTAGATTGGCTGAGCTTGTCAAGGAGGCAGATCACGGGCAGAGCCAGCACAAGCCAAACACAGCTCTGGCCAATAAGTATTTCCTCATAGAGATGCAGTGAATCATGCACTGTGCAGCACTGACCCAGGAATCATCTCTAGTGGCCATCTGATGAGTGGCCAGAGAAGGTATCCCTAGGCTGTAATGTAAACATTGCATTTTTCTCTGAAAAGACAGTGTTTACAGCAAAAAGCCTGAAGGGAATGATTCCACTCACCAGAATTAATACAATAAGCTGTAGTGGTTCTGGTGACTATAGTGTCCCTTTAAATAAAAGGTGAAAAGTGGGAATTGGGAGGACATAAAAATTACATTAGAGGGACAGCGAAGGCGCATAATGTTGGGGGGGTGCAGGATATAAGTTAACTCCAGTAAGGAGCACACATTTACTGAGCTGAATATCACGATGCTTTGCTAAGCATTTACATTGCAATGACATTAGCTGTCATCTCAGGCAATGCAGATGAAGCTTCAGTTCTGTAAGCGCATGCTCCTAACCAAGGATCATTTAAATGGCAGCGTGCAGTGGGGGAACATTGGGGAAACATCACCGAAATGCATTTGATGACTTGATTTCATACTTGATGGCTTTTAATTCAGCACACTACAGAGTTTGTATTGTACTCCATCATTAAGAAAAAGTAATATGTGTCCAAGAACAATATTTTATTTACAGAAACTGATTTCTCAATACATTTATTGTAGTTTAAAGAGTACACCTTACTGAGGGTATTATTGCTATAGGGTTCTGTTATACACTCAGCACACCAACAATATGAAGCTACAAGAAAACAAGGACATTAGGATAGAAAATTTGGTTTTCATGCAATCCTGTCCCATACATTTTCTTCCACTGAAACTATTCTCATAGACCCTAGTCAGTCAGTAAGGGAGATGTGGGCATGCACTTGCAGTAAGTACACAGTTATCATGTAGGGGTGTACTAACCTGCTGTGTTATGCAAAGGACACGTTTATCACTCCATCTCCAACTTATTACACCTGCACACAGATTCTAAGCAGGCATGGTTTGACATGGGGACTTCCTGTGCACCCATTCATGATTCCCCCTGCAGCACAGATCCCTTAGTATTACTGTACAGCCTCCAAATCAGAGCTGGCTCCTGTGTTGAAATATTGTGAACAGCCATACACAGTCTATGGGCGATGGCTAAAGGTAATAACTGGGAATGAGCCTCCTGGACACCATGTCCATAGCCAGCATGCCCAGTGTTACACAGAAATATCACCTTCTATATCGCAGGCATCCCCCTTATCCCAGTTATATTCTATTTAGCTGTTTCCCTCCGTTAGATATTCTATAATTATTATTAGAGTAGAGATTCTCATTAGCCGGAACCCTTTTTCTTTGTGCTTGTTTCCGGGGGAGCGGTTTGGTTGCCGTACAGATGTTGCGGTCCGTGTTCCGCTTGTCCCGGTACTGTGGCCGGGGTCCGCTCTACCCCCCGTGGGGGCTCCCTCCTGCCTCCTCGTTGAGTTCTCCGGGGCCCTCGCTGAATGGCAGGCCGGCCCGCGGGTACAGCAGTGACCCCAGCCCCGCCAGCCAACGGGTAGTGGTGGTCGGGCTCCCCAACCCGTTTATATGGTGCAGGACGCGGATCTATTTCTTCCTGATCCGGGCTTACTTCGACAAGGACTTCAACGTGGCCGAGTTCACGCAGGGGGCGAAGCAGGTGGGAGCTGTGGGGTGTGAGGTCACCACCCACCAATGTGCCCCCACTCCCCATGTAGGTATAAAGCAGACTTCCCCAAACTCCGGCCCTCCAGATGTTGCTGCACTACAACTCCCATGATTCTCAGCCTATTTAATTAATAGAATCATGGGAGTTGTAGTGCAGCAACATCTGGAGGGCCGGAGTTTGGGGAAGCCTGCTTTAGAGGGTCCCCAGTGGGTGAAGGGGCACAAGGTGTCAGCCCCCAGGTAATGCTCACAATAACATTACATTGGGACATTGCTTTACCCCAGTGCAGTTAATTTCCCCCTCCCCCTTTCATACAAGGATGTTTTGTAAATGTTATTTTATAGTAAGTTATAATACATATTCAGAGTGGGTCAGTGACTTCAATTTCAAACTGAGGGTTTGGTCACTATTAGTTTGTCATGCGTACGCCATTGACATCAAGGTGCGCTCAGATTCATAACCACTGCAGTCCACTGAAGCCATTTAAAATCGGTTTGAAGCGAACGAAGAGCATTTCGTTAATGGACTGCGCTTACGGATGGGATCAGTCTGATGTGCAATGGTATAGGTTCACTTTGTAATGGCGCAAGTGCTCAAAAATTATCTTGAGACCTGAGCCGGAATTAACTGAAGGACAAGCTACTGAGTTTCTCTAAGCTTTTGTCTGTTCAGAGTTCTCATATTCAGTTTTTTGTTGCAAACAGAAAGCATTAAACTTGGCAAGGGGTGAGCTCATCTTGTCTCAATTGATAATGGGAAATTAATATTTCTGCATTATCAATGTCAATTATATCAAACCTGGGTAATATTGATTGGCAGAGAAGGATCAGTATTAAAGGTGGGGAGAGGCACCTGGCGTACCCAAGGTACGAAGTCAAATAATTGTAGTTTGACTACTTTTTGATGGGGGTGCTCTAGGCATCATAATTACACTGAGTTGCAGTGCTTGCAGCGTTCCTATAATACACTATTTTTATTTACAGAAGCCATTTAAACAATTTGGTGTTGAACCGAGAGAGCACCAGAAGAGCCTAGGCAGCGTAATCACTGCAGCAAGCTTTAAAGGGACCCCCGAAGTACTTTAGTTCACTGAAAAGATTTCTGTGTGAAGTGTGCCCTCTTTTTTTTCATTTTGCAAAAAGTGGAGATTTCAGTAGAAATTTAAATTTTTATAAATGAACCTGGTTACACCCCCTTGGCTTTCAAATTGACAACAGGTAATGCTACTTCCTGGTTTGGTTAGCTCAGTGGAGCTAAACTGAAGAGGCAGCAATTGCTTAGAGAACCTGCCTTGAAAGATTTCTCAGTGAGCTGCATTGGGTAGTCTGTGATTGGACAGCCACATAAAGTCTGGTCGGGGTTATAATGGGAGGACCTACAAATGCAGCAGACAAGAGAAATGCCATACTTTTACTGTGCTGTCCTTTAAAATTAAATATGTGACAAGGGAATCATGGTAGATCTGGAATATATAGATTGTAAGGCAAAGATAAAAAAAAAAAACTAGGTTTGAGTACATATTTGCACAGATTATGAGAGCAAAATGAGTGACAAGCAAAGAGTGTCAATAATTTAGAAAGGAAATGTCTTGGGGCATTTCATGTGATGCACAGCATCAGCTTGCACCTCACAATTCCTCAACAACATATAACTGGATCATTTCCTCATTTTTTTTTTTTTTTTGTTTGTTTTCTTACTGCAATCGCCATTTTGCTGGCCTCAGTAACAACCATTTTACGCAATTCCAAAGTGTAGAATAACACAGCTATCCGCACACTTCATCACTCCTCAGCTCCTCCAGTCTACAAAACCTTCACTGGCTTCCCATCGAATATGTGAAAAAAATTAAAAAATGTTACCCTCAAAAATCCCACCACATATCTGTTACCTTCTACACTAGTCTCTCTTTATCATGTATTCTCCACCTCTGCACTTCCTTTGATCATTCGTCCTGTCACTTCTACAACCAAATTATTTTCTGGAGGTGCCTTATAAATCCATACTAAGTAAACTTTCAAAATCTCCCTAAAAAACCCCTTCAATGTCTAACAAAAATGATTCAATTAGCCAAAACACTCGCAGTAACGTTCATTAAAGTGTAAATAGTTCAGCATTTAGTGAATTTAAAATTTTAGGCAAAAATACCTGAGCTGGAAACATTCCCCAAGTCTGCTTAGTTTTCAGGGTTTTTTAAATTTTATTTTTTTACTCAATTTTTAAATACATTCCACATATTTATTTTTTTGTATTTTTTTACTCAAAAAAAGTTTTAATGTAAAAATCGTTTCTTCAAGTATTGAAAGAAAATAGATATTTTTAATGAAGTATATGTTAAAAGTGAGACGAAAATAAACTAATCTTCCTCTTTAGTATATGACGGGATAATTCAGCTGTATGCATGCACCTTTGGTCAGACAGTTCTTGAACACTGACACTCTCTATGGTTTTCCCTGTTTCTGTGCAGAGAGTAAGGAAGACCACAGAGACTGTATTTTTACACATTGTTGTATGTATATGACTGAAGGATCCTGTCATTTTCTAAAGGTAGGGGTGAGATTTTCCCATAATTTTATATCAACATTATTTAAAAGAAAATCTATTAAATTTCAATACTTGATGAAATAATTATTTTATAAATATTTTTGTGGTGACCGTTGTCCTTTATTTGTCATTGTAAGCATTTTTTGCAATTTAGCTAATGAATACACTGTTGCATAGCAAACAATTTGAATTTGTAGATAAGAACACTTGGAAGCTATGTCACTAGTCTTCCGGTATCCAAAGTCAGACACCACACAGGGAACACTAAATGAAAACCGCATCACCCTACAAGATAAATAAAATTACTTTATTTTTATTTCTTAATTTTAACACTATTTAAGGTGAAAATCAAGGGGAGACCACCACACTGGAAAGCTGGGATCATTGCCTTACACGTTTTGTGCATTTAGCAGAACAAGAAGAAAAGGAAGATTACAGCTAACGTGTTGCCGGTCTCGGAGAAGGGGTTCCCCATGACAGTGGGAACACAAAGAGTTGGTCGCACTTACGACCCCTGTTGTTCCGCTACTGCACCGGCTGTTATCATTGCAGTGTTTAACGGGCTGACAAACACCCAGGGCAAAATTTCTAGTCACCATGGTGACCTGGCACCTGGGGTTTGTCAAGCCATGATCTAAAATATGAATTAAGCTATAATACCCAGGTGTACCCCAACTTTCTTGAAGCTTCGTGGCACAATTGCAGGACCACTTGATCCTAGACTACTACAGATTGATAGGTTAGCATCACAATCACTCTTATGTAGAAACAAGCCAAATATATGCAGCAGGAATTGTCATTTAAAACTGGCTGTATCTGTGTTAGCTGTTTACTTCACTTTGACTTTTTATTGTGAATTTACAGTTATTCTTATAAAAGCACCTGGTATATATTTTCAATTTTATTTTTTAGGCATTCACTCTTGTTTCCAAGCTTATGTCTGAGCGAAAATTTGAGGAACTAGAAAACTTGGTAACTAATGAGGTAGGAAATATTGAAACAGATTTTAAAGCTTTGTTTATATTTGTGTTTTTTTTTTATGTTTTGGATTACAATTCCTATCTCTCACTGTAATCTAAGTGATTTTTAATTCATATCAGAGGGTTTCCAATATTCTAGGCCAAAATAACTTATTTATCTCAATACCAGAAAATAAAAAAAAAGTTTCTTAAAAGTAAAATGTTTGCCAAAGACTGGGCACCAAAACCCCCAAGGCCCCATAGGCTTACGCACACTCAAAGACGCACGGGTCCCGAGATAACTCTTGGCACACACGTTGCAGACCTATAATCAACGCCTGATAATAGCAGGACTGCAAACCGCGACCTGCAGGAGACCCAAGACAATCATACCTAAGCCAGGCAGGCCCTGAAGCCACACACATGGACTGCACACATATGATGAACATCCCCGACACACACAAGGACACTGACGGGCCGTGGGTAGATGAGGACTCTCATTTGGACCCGCGACCGATGAGACCCACGACAACCAACTCCACCTCACTTTAGACACAGGGGGAAAGGGCAAGACGATCCCCGAGCACACACCTGACTGACAAACATACACGAAGAGACACTGGAAGCACGACTACTGGGTCCATGTCATATGACTGGGGCCCGAGAGCCACGGATGCACCACACTACATTACGGACCAACGAACCCATACGTAGCTGATTCTTCAACCTGTATGGCAATCCCCAGAGTGAGCCCTACGATTATCAAAGCGCAAACACCTAAATCATTCCACACCACCATAGTTTTGACACAAAAACGAAAATTAAACAAACATATCCATCGATATCAAATGATACCTAGGCCCTAGGATGCCATCAGGCACAAGTCTCACATACAGACAGTACGCAGCAGACCTGTCCGTGTCGTAAAATCCGGTACCCAGACATGAATGTCAAATTATAATTATCTACACCCTATTCAAGACTGAGCGCAGAGAGGAAGCTTTGTATCACCCACAGACAGACAGGACATACTGAACGTGTCTATTAATAGCCAATGTGAAATAGTGCCGCTCAAATTTGTATATAGTTGCTGGGCGCTTAATATGCCTCGAGACCTTCGTGTCTCATTCCCTACTACTTTTCTGGGATCTGCGTATCTCGACATGTTGATTGTTATGCTCTATGTTTGAAACCTGCGTGTTTCCTCTCACTACAATCCCTCTGAAACTCTGAAAAAATTCTTCAATAAAAAGATATTTACAAAAAAAAAGGTTTGCCGAAATGTTATTGGCCAGGCAAACCTGCCAATCCCTTGTTACACTTTTCATTTAGCTTGCATGAGCTGTGCTGTGAGCCCAATGTTCCGTGCCTGGCTCAAGGCTGTGCTATAAAATGCAGTTAAGATGTGTTTTATGAGTGGAGAGGAATTAATCACATGACATGTCACATGATTCATAGAAAAACAGAACAGATTAGTGTAAGCTAAAAGAAAAAAAACAAGGAAATTAGTAGGTTTTTTTTTGTAAGCACGGACTTTGCTATGTAGTTACATTACATTGATTGTTGTTTTCTTTAACATGTTACAGGAAACAGTTTGCTTTTAAGTTATTAATCCTAAATTTCTGTTTTTTAGACCATCCGGGATGTACAGGAAAAGTGTACATTACTTTCTGACAACCACAGGGATGCGCTGGCAGCCTCTTCAGATGACATCATGTATTCAACCACTGGAGATGTTGCAATTTATTATGACGATAATGGTATGTATGGGATCTATTCTGTATTATGGCATCCTAGAAAACATTACCATAGCCTCCAAGTGATTTGAATAGCTGGCTTTTCATTAAAGAAATGTTAACGCAGTTTTATAAGTACTTGTACAACTTCCTTGCATATTAAAGGATCACTATAGTGTCAGGAAACAAAGTGGTTTTCCTGACAGTATAGTGCCCTGAGGGTGCCCCCACCCTCAGGGTCCCCCTCCCGCTGGTCTGAAGGGGTTTAAAACCCCTTCAGCAGCTGACCTTTTTCCAGCGCCAAGCTCCTCTCCTCCCCCGCCAACGACAGCCCAGCCGAATAAGCGTGCGCGGCAAGTGCATTCAAGCTGTCAATGTGGGGGGGGGGGGCAGTCACCTAAATGGTGACTAGGGCTCTATAGTATTAGGAATACACCTTTGTAGTGCACGCACACTTAGTTAAGAGAGCTATCTCCTTAACTATGTGTGAAATAAAAGCTGCAGGCTCCCTCCTTGTAATTAGATAATTTAAATATAGAAGCGCTCCCTGCCACTTCTCTCGTCGACTTGTTAAATTAACTGCATGCTTAGATCAGGGAATAGATCTCCTGAACTAAATGTGAAATAAAATCCTATGGGACTCTATATATAATTATAATATTTACAATAATATATAATAATTATAAGGGAGTTTTACAACCTAAAATTACCAAAATAAGCGTGCTTGAACTGATGACAAGATAGATCTACAAACTAAAAAACAAAATATAGTGCAGGCAACCCAAATTGTGTAATACACAGTAGGGGGTAATGGGGAGAACTCACATGGACCAGAGAGAGGCAGAAACCCCTAATTGAATAGTATCTTTCTCAATTTATTATAAAAAAAGGGTTAAAACTCTTACTTTGTAATTGGTGGGTATGCCAGCAAAAACTACCCACATAAAAGCATGTGTAAACAGAGTAAAACGGCTTGCAATCTCAATACAGTCACTTCCAGGTTTCGCCGATCACGTAATCTCTTCCTGGCCCGCCTCTCCTGTGACGTTAAGCGTTTTGCCCCCCTTCCTGGGCTTTTTTCGATGACCTGGTGCATAAACAGTGAGCAGCTAGGGCGGATGGACATAAAACTTTGCACACTTCAACACGCCTTACCCCAGTGCCTAGGGGTACCTAAGTCTTTAGCCCTCTCAAAATAATATCTGCCTAACTGATTAACCCTTACAATAGTGAAGGGGGAATATAATAAAGTTCCTGATTAAAAAAAATATATATATAAAAAAACAGGCCAAATAAGAAACCATTAAATCCCATCACAACAAAATAAAAAGACCAAATGGTAAATACAAACAAAAGCACCATGATGCTTAAAATTTAAATCCATATTTACCCATTGAGGGCTCCACGCAGTTTGCACGGTGGGAATAGCCTTGTTAAGGCGCTGTGAATGATACTTCCCATTTTTTATTTATTTGTTGGGGCTGGGAATCTGTGTCAGGTCCCCCCTTTATTGTATTAGCAATAGCGGCCCAGTCGTTAGTATTTTATGACAGAAGGCATTCACTGGCTGCTCACTATTTAATAGACATGCCTATACCCATTGCACAGCAGGTAGCTTATGAGGGAGAATGTAAACCTTCCTTACAATTATACGGGGGTCACATTGACGCTCATAGGGTTTCATTAGTTACTTTAGCCCTTGTGGATTGGTGCAGGAAGCAGTGTAAGTGGGAGTTTAACAATTAAAACAGTTTGTCCAAATTTTCTTCACAACAAACATGTGAGAACAAAGTTTGAATGAAGCATAACAAACCATGGACAAAATTTGCTTTGGTTAAGAAGTTTTTATTATCTGACGAAACTGTTCATACAAACTGAAATTTCTGCACAAATCTAATAATTGCTTTCCATAAATCAAAACACTTGACTGATTTATGAATAGTTATGTTCAGACCAAAGTATTTTGAATTTACTTTTGTCTCTTTTTCCAGGAAGAAAGTTTGTCAGCATCCTGATGAGGTTTTGGTACTTGACTTATGCAGATCTGCCGGATGAGGATTTGGAGGGAACAAAAGTATTCCAAGTTGTAGTAGGAGATAAAAATGTGAAGGATACTAAACGTCTGCTTACGGCAAACTATGAGTAAGAGAATTAACATGCATACTCAGACTAACTGAGCTTATTGCTCTGTAGATGAAAACTTGTCACAGAGGTGGGGAGAAAAAAAACACAGTTGCATTTATTCTTAACGAAAACTTCACATTTCACTGGGGATAACATTAGTAAGATGTATTCACTGGAGACACACATGCTCTTCCACTTGGTATGAAGACTCCACTGTATGTTGGACAGAGATGATTTTGCAACTTTTACAGAAAGTTGTTGAATATGTTATCGTAACCCATTCAAGACCAACATGTCAAGACTGTCCTGATGACAAGGGTTTTCCTAACTTGTCTTGGAAGGGTTAAAGAACTGTGGCACTACATAGAACGAATTGTAAACATGTTTCAGCCATGTGACTCGACACTCAAGGAAAATGTTTTAAAAAATTATTATTTAACATGGCTAGTTTTCTAACAAATGTAGTGTGCTCCAATTTATTAGTGAGTGCTAGACCGCAAGGAAGCGATTAGTTTGGCTGCCGCCTGGGTCTGCATGGGTCGGTGTGTGTGTCTGCATGGGTCAGTGTGTGTGTGTGTGTGTGTGTCTGCATGGGTCAGTGTGTGTGTGTGTGTCTGCATGGGTCAGTGTGTTTGTGTGTGTCGGCATGGTCAGTGTCTGTGTGTGTGTGTCTGCATGGGTCAGTGTCTGTGTGTGTGTGTGTGTGTGTGTGTGCGCGCGCGCATGGGTCAGTGTCTGTGTGTGTGTGTGCGCATGGGTCAGTGTCTGTGTGTGTGTGTGCGCGCATGGGTCAGTGTGTGTGTGTGTGTCTGCCTGCATGGGTCAGTGTCTGTGTGTGTGTGTGTCTGCATCAGTCTCTGTGTGTACGTGTGTTTGTCAGCATGGGTCAGTGTGTGTGTGTCAGTCTGCATGGGTCGGTGTGTGTCAGCATCAGTCTCTGTGTGTACATGTGTTTGTCCACATGGGTCAGTGTGTGCGTGTCAGTCATCAGTCTGTCTGTGTGTATATGTGTTTGCCAGCGTGGGTTGGTGTGTGTTTGTGTGTGTCAGTCTGCATGGGTCGGTGTGTGTGTGTGTCAGTCTGCATGGGTCGGTGTGTGTTTGTGTGTGTCAGTCTGCATGGGTTGGTGCGTTTGTGTGTGTGTCAGTCTGCATGCATGCGTGGAGTGAATAGGGTGACAAAATTCTAGCACAGGCCCTGCTTAAAACCCATATAAAATCGGTCTGCCTGAAACTACATGTTGAAGGGATTTTCTAGATCTCATAAGTGGTGTGTTTAATTAAGTTGGTGTTCTGTCTTTTTAGGTTTCGAAGGGAATTTACTCAAGGAGTAAAACCCAATTGGATTATTACACGGATTGAACATCCAAAACTATTGGATTAGAAAGTCTTGAATGGACTGAAGCTTATGAATATCCATCTACAGACTGGAACTTATATTTAATTTTTATACCACCTGCCAAAGTACAGCACAATTCTTGTGGACACCATTTAAATATCTTGGATTTACAGTTTTCACTTACAGAAGTAAATAAACATTAATAAAAAAAAAAGACAGAAAAACTTGAGATATAAATATGATATCCAGATAATTTAATTTGGAAACCATTAAACTAAATAGAAGAAAATATACAATTTCTGATAACCTCTTCTGTAACCACATCTGGTTCCCTTATTTACCATTATAACATCTTAAAGCATAGAACTTAGCAGGGCTAACCATACAGATATCTTTAGCCATAATATTATATAGTTAATAAGAGATCCTCTATTTAAAATATATAAATAATTGAGAATACAATATAAAATAAAGATTGTCTTGGAAGCAATAAAGTTTTCTTTTTAGATATTTTATTATATTAAAATATAAATATAGACATATATTTACACTAATTTATTGCAGAGTTTATAAGATTAAACTATATGCTTGCAATATCATTAAAATAGAATACCATACCCTCTTGAACATGTCAACATCTCTTAGAATCTCTGTCTCCAAATCTGTCCTTTTTCCGTTAACATCTAAAAGGTACACATATTATACCTTTATTTCATTTTAGGGTCACCGTAGTTCATAGAGGAAATAGTTATTTTACTTTTCATTATTTTAGGACCTCCCTTAACTTGACAAAGATACAAGGCCATAACTAAAACGTAAGGGTATACACGTCATGGTAAATTCCCTGACTTAGGACAAGATGGCGTCTTAAAGTCTGAACATCTTATCTATTGTTTATTTGTCATGACCTAGACATCTTCTTTATTGTTTATACTAAAACATAGGGGGGCACACATCATGTGAAATTCCCTGATTTGGGACAAGATGGCTTCCTAAAGTCTGATGACATAGCATAGGCTTTAAGATGTTATTGCATTACTACTTGTATTTTAAGCTAAGACAAATTGGTGTAAACATATTATGCACTAAAAGTAGGTAAGAAGTTATATGTATGAAAAACAATATGTTCCATTCCTAACACCTTGTCAGTTTGCAATATCTCTTATAGACAAAGTACACAGTTTAAGAAATACAACATTTCATTCTAAAACTTTTAATATTTGCATTTGCCCGTAACAACCTCTCCATTAAACTGTGGGCATTGTAGAGCATTTCTTCTTTAAATTAGAAAACCAGAGTACTCCCAACAGTCTAAGTTTACTCCAGAGTCTTTCTGATAATGATGTTGATGATTCATTTTTCATATATTCCATGTTAACTGTGAATGTATCACGTTTGTCTGTTCATCCTTCTCTTTCACATTTGCAGGTTCAGATGTCAGATCATGATTCAGTCTGTTACGTGGCTGTGTTCTGGTGGCATTTCTATCGTCCTCTGTTTTATCTTGCCTTCTTTAACAACATCCATTGTGTCAGTCACTGGTTCTCTGAACATCTTGGAAGTATTTAGCAGGTTTTAAAATATCAAAACTTATCTTTCTCTGTTGGCTCTGATTGAACTAAATTAATGATATTGCAAGCATATAGTTTAATCTTATAAACTCTGCTATAAATTATTGTAATAGGTTTTATGTCTATATTTATTTTAATATAATAAAATAAAATATCTAAAATGACAAAACCTTATTGCTTCCAAGAGAATCCTTAAATTATATTGTATTGTCAATTATTTATATATTTTAAATAGAGGCTATCTTAAGGACTATATGAAATTATGGCTAAGATATCTGTATGGTTAGCCCTGCTAAGTTCTATGCTTTAAGACATTATACTGGTAAATAGGGGAACCAGCTGTAGTTACAGTTCCATTTCTAACACAGTGTCATTTTGTAATATCTCCTATAGACAAAGTACACAGTTTAAGAAATACAACATTTGCATTTGCCCATAACACTTCCTATTTGGTTTAATCACAACACATTATTCACCAAAGATCTTCCAACTTTAATTTGCAAAACTTTTGTCATTTCTTCACAATTTACCTTTTTAGAGAATACATCGTATTCTTATATTCTGCCCTATAAATCCATTGATCAGCTAGAACATTAAAACCACTGACAAGTAAAATGAATAAAATGGAATATATTGTTGCAGTAGAACATGTCAAAGGGTGGGATGTACTAGGCAGCAAGTGAACAGTCTGTACTTGAATTCATGTATTAGAAGCAGGGAAAATGGGCAATTTGAAAGATCTGCGTGACTTTGACAAGGGCCAAATAGTGATGGCAACACAACTGGGTCAGAGCATCTCCAAAATGGCAAGTCTTGTGGGGTGTTCCCAATATGCATTGATGAATAACTACCAACAGTGGTGCAAGAAAGGACAATCGATGAATGAGCACTAGGGTCATGGACACCCAAGGCTCATTGATGCACTTGGGGAGCAAAGGCTAGCCCGTCTGGTCCAATCACACAGAAGAACTACTGCAGCTCAAATTTCTTAAATTGTAATGCTGGCCATGATTGAAATGTTTGAGAACACAGAGTGCATTGCAGCTTGCTTTGTATTGGGCTGTGTAGCCACAGACTGATCATAGTGCCCATGATGACTCCTGTCCAGTGCCGAAAGCGACTTTAATGTGGATGCCCACATCAGAACTGGACTGTGGATCAATGGAAGAAGGGTGCCTGGTCTGACGAATCACGTTTTTAGATCAGGAGGATGGCTGAGCGTGTGTGTGCACGTCGTTTATCTAGAGAAGAGGATGCACTATGGGAAGAAGGCAGGCTGGCAGAGGCAATGTAATTCTCTGGGCAAAGTTCTAGTGGGAAATCTTGGGTCCTGGTATTCATGTCGATGTTACTTTGATACATACCACCTACCTAGAGATTGTTGCAGACCACTTACACCCTTCAAGGCAATGAGGTTTCCTGATAGCAGTGGCCTCTTTCCGCAGGATAATGCACCCTGCCACACTGCAAAAATTGTTCAGGAATGGTTTGAGGAATATGACAGAGTTCAATATAGAATATGACTGCAGATAAGAACCATTCAGCCCATCTCGCCTTCCCAGCTTTCTCAATACTTTCATTAGTCCCTAGCCTTATCTTATAGCTAGGATAGCCTTATGCTTATCCCACGCATGCTTAAACTCCTTCACTGTGTTAACTTCTACCACTCCAGCTGGAAGGCTATTCCATGCATCCACTATCCTTTCTGTAAAGTAATACTTCCTGAAATTCTTTAAACCTTTGCCTCTCTAATTTAAGTCTATGTCCTCTGGTTGCGGTAGTTTTTCTTCTTTTAAATATAGTCTCTTCCATAACTGTGTTGATTCCCTTTATGTTTCTATTATATACCCCCTGTCTCGTCTTTCCTCCAAGCTATACATGTTAAGATCCTTCAACCTTTCCTGGTAAGTTTTATCCCGCAATCCATGAACCAGTTTAGTAGCCCTTCTCTGAACTCTCTCCAAAGTATCAATATCCTTCTGAAGATACTGTCTCCAGTACTGCGTACGATACTCCAAGTGAATATTTAGATCAGGCATGAGCACTTCTCTCTTTCTACTGCTAATGCATGTCCCTAAACAACTAAGCATTCTGCTAGCATTTCCCGCTGCTCTATTACATTGTCTGCCTATCTTTAAGTCATCTGAAATAATTACTCCTAAATCCCTTCACCACCAAATATCTCAGATCTCAATCCAAATGAGCATCTGTGGGTTGTCCTGGAACAACAAATCCGATCCACAGTGGCCCCAGCTCGCAACCTAAAGGATCTGCTGCTATTGTTTTGGTGCCAGATATCACAGGACATATTTTGTAGATTCAATGCCTAAATATATATATATATATTTTTTAAGTAGCACGAGGGGCACCTACTACAAGGAAGGTGGTTTTAAAGTTGTGGCTGATTACTGTATTTTACCAGGGCAAACATTTGTCTAACAGATGGGATCGCTAACATTTTAATTTATTTATTACTGGCGTTTATAAACCTATCCCGCAGTGCTGTACAATATAAACAGACCAATACAAAATGTAACCTTGCATACAATATTATGTCTGTGTCTTAGTTGATTAAGACTTATGCATTCCTTACACATCTGTGCCAATAAACAGACGGCAGCTTAGGCATGTTGCAGAGAAACAAAAGACTCTGCCAGAAAGAATAATGGCAAAGAAATAAAGGAACATCCGTTTCTTCGTAGTGATGCTGCTGTAGAGAACAAAATATATACAAAATACAATTTAAGTTTTAAATCATACACTACTTAATATCAAAAACAAATGTGATGATTTAGTAAGACCATATGGCTGTACTGTGTTAAACCCACCACTTCATCAAAGTACCCAATTATTGGTGGGTCCAATGCTAGTTGTAACATGAGTGAAAAGGATGTTTACTGCTTCCAGAGACTGCTGAGAGGAAGTATAATAGCAGCAGTTTATATAGTTATTTTTATTTTATCACAAGTAATAACAGATTGTTTTCATTCAATTTTTTATTAAATTTGTTAATTTTCTCAAATACTGCAATGAGATTGAAAAATAACCCCAAAAGTGTTTTTTTTTTTCTTTAAACGTTTATAAGCATTTTTAATCAAATTGTTTTTAATGAGGAAATTTAGCAGCATCAGGTAGAAACTATTACAGTACAAGCATTGGTACAAATAATACGCAAGATGCTCCAAGTTTTATTAAGGTATAAACATTCCAAAATTCCCTCACCCTGAACTATTACATTAATATACAATCACAATTATTTAGAACTGTGGAATAGATAAACAAGGCAAAGATTTAAGTCTAACAAAACACATTTGACATACGGCAACAGTAGATTAAGAGGGCCAAGCACATGCTTACAATCTAACGATGCTGATTGTACAGTGGGCGAGTTTCCTTCAGAACCCTGCAAAGATACCAGTTAGTGTGTTCGAATAGTTTTTTATTTTTTATTAGTATGCCCTTTACATCGACTTAAACAAGTTATTATAGATTTGCCAGGTCAGGATAAACTTGGTTTTGTTGTCTTTTTGCAACATGGATTCCAGCAAGTCCATTCTGAATGAATGAAAATGTTTATTAAAGCTATGTTTGGGGCTACAGGTAGTATTCGATTATGATAACATTTATCAAGACCAATATGAAGACATTTTGTGTGAGATTTAAAGGTGGCAGTAGGATACCTAATTGGCATTTTAAATGGATTCTTCCTAATCAGAAACAATACTTTTTGAAATATAAAACACATTTTTATCCCAATATTTAGAATAAAAAAGTGGCTCCGTCCCATAGTACTTTATTGTATTATGACCAAACATTACCTTGGAAATAATGCTGTCAGGAGCCCCTCCCGTGATCATGCTTGTGTGCTCGGAATATGCTGTCTGTGGGCATTATTTATTTATAAGAGTTTTAAAATTTAAAAAAAATTATTAAAAAGCATTGGAATATTTTAAAAGAAAACGCCATTTTAAAAAACATTTTACCCAATAAGCCTAAAATCGTTTTTAGAGGGGAAGCCCCTAATGCCCCTGTGCCTCACACAGAATACACATGGAAGACTAATCCTAAACAATTTTCTTGTAACCAACAAAAAGGCTTCTACAAATGTAAAACATGCCTAGCTGGTAAGACCACAAATAAAGAAGACACAAACATTTCTACCTTAAAATCCATTTATTCATCTCAGAGATATGAAATTAACAGCTTCATTACATGTCATTCAAAAAATTTAATAAACCTTTTAGTGTCCTTGCAAGTTACAATATGTCGGTACGACTACTAGAAGTTTAAAAACCTGTATAGCAGAACATTGCAGAAACATATCAAAATGTTTTTTTTAAATCATTCAGTGTCTAAACATTTTTTAACTCATAATAAAAACCCTAAATGTTAAACATTTTATGATATAGAAAAAATATCTCCATCCGTGTCGAGGTGGCAACCTTTCTAAAATACTAGGCAGAAAAGAAATGAGCTGGGTTTTCAAAGTAAACACCCAGGGGTTCAATGTTGAATTTGATCTTTTTATGTTGAATTAGATTTTTTATAAGATGTTAGCTTTTCTTTTATATATTCTGGAATTATGTACACTAATGTTTTCCTACATAAAGTGAATGAAAAAAGTATTTGAACCTCTGCTGATTTTGAACATTTGCCCACTGACAAAGAAATGATCAGTCTATAATTGTAACGCTAGGTGTATTTTAACAGTGAGAGACAGAATAACAAAAAAAAATCCAGAAAAATGCATATTAAAAAGTTATGAATTGATTTGCATGTCAATGAATGAAATAAGTATGTGACCACTTCGACTTAGTACTTGGTGGCAAAGCCTTGTTGGCAATCACAGAGGTCAGACGTTTCTTGTAGTTGGCCACCAGGTTAGCACACATCTCAGGAGGGATTTTGTCCCACTCCTCTTTGCAGATCCTCTCCAAGTCGTTAAGGTTTCGAGGCTGACGTTTGGCAACTCGAAACTTCAGCTTCCTTCACAGATTTTTATGGGATTAAGTTCTGGAGACTGGCTAGGCCACTCCAAGACCTTAATGTGCTTCTTCTTGAGCCACTCCTTTGTTGCCTTGGCTGTATGTTTTGGGTCATTGTCATGCTTGAATACCCATCCACCACCCATTTTCAATGCCCTGGCTGAGGGAAGGAAGTTCTCACCCAAGATTTGACGGTACATGGCCCTGTCCATCGTCCCTTTGATGCGGTGCAGTTGTCCTGTCCCCTTAGCAGAAAAACACCCCCAAAACAAAATGTTTCAACTTCAATGTTTTACTGTGGGAATGGTGTTCTGTCATAGGCAGCATTCCTCCTCCTCCAAACACAGCAAGTTGAGTTGATGCCAAAGAGCTAGATTTTTGTCTAATCTGACCACAACACTTTCACCCAGTTCTCCCCTGAATCATTCAGATGTTCATTGGTAAACTTCAGACTGGCCTGTACATGTGCTTTCTTGAGCAGGGGGACCTTGCGGGTGCTGCAGGATTTCAGTCCTGCATGTTTATTGGTGACTATGGTTCCAACTGCCTTGAGATCATTAACAAGATCCTCCCGTGTAGTTCTGGACTGATTCCTCACCATTCTCATAATCATTGAAACTCCACAAGGTGAGATCTTGCATGGAGCACCAGACCGAGGGAGGCTGACTGTTATTTTGTGTTTCTGCCATTTGCGAATAATCGCACCAACAGTTGTCACCTTCTCACCAAGCTGCTTGGCAATGTTCTTGTAGCCCATTCCAGCATTGTGTAGGTCTACAATCTTGTCCCTAACATCCTTGGACAGCTCTTTGGTCTTGGCCATGGTGGAGAGTTTGGAATCTGACTGATTGATTGCTTCTGTGGACAGGTATCTTTTATACAGGTAACGAGCTGAGATTAGGAGCCCTCCCTTTAGCCCCTTAAAGCGGCACTGTCATGCCGAATTTACCTTTCCTCAATCTCTTCCTCTTCTCCCCCTCTGTCAGGATCTGTTATTCTTTTCTTCCTGTCTTCTTCAGTTTTCTTTAAAATCATAAGACAAAGTAGGGACTCTTTGCCTTATGGAGGATTCCTCCGCTTGACCAGCTCTGACCAGCGGAGGAGCAAAGTGTGCTTCATTTCCGCTGGTCAGAGCAATTTTCCCATGATCCTTACCTTCCCTCTGTGTTCCCACAATGCTTCCTGTCACTTTAAACAAAACTGCCGAATTGCGTTCTAACTGAATGAGAACAGTATGTTCGTTTGTTTTAGAACGCAATTCGGCACTTTATTCGTATCGGAATTTCATTCGAATGAATGAAACTCCGATCCTATTGATTGCTGCGGCTGCATCTTGCAGCCGCTTAGTAGATAACTCCCTAATTCCCACGGTATCAGGGAGTTATCTACTAAAAGGCTGAAAGACCTAAATTGGTCTTTCAGCCACATTTATTAATACCAAGTAAAAATTACTTAGTATTAGTAAATAATATGCCCCTACTCGCTATACCGCGAGTAGGAGCATGTCTGGTAAACAGTGAGCAGCCTATGGCTGCTCACTGTAAACAAAACAAAAAAAACTATTGGCCCCCACCCCTAAACGACTGGTGGGGGCCCTAAAGTCAAATAAGGGGGGAGACCTAAAGTCCCCGCCCCCACCCCTGTGCGGTGGGTGGGGTTCATAATGATAATGGGGGGACACCTACTGCACCCCCCCGCCGGCCCCCACCCCTTGGCGGCGGGTGGGGGCCATAAAGACAATGGGGGGGGGACCTACTGTCCTCCCCCCGGCCCCCACTCCTGGGCTGCGGGTGGGGGCCATATTGATAATGGGGGGGAGACCTACTGTCCTCCCCCGGCCCCCACCCCTGGGTGGCGGGTGGGGGCCAAATGATAATGAGGGGGGGACCTACTGTCCACCCCCCTCCGGCCCCCACCCCTGGGCGGCGGGTGGGGGCCATAAAGATAATGGGGGGGGGACCTACTGTCCTCCCCCCCCCGGCCCCCACCCCTGGGCGGCGGGTGGGGGCCCCTAAGTCAATTCCCCCCCTTCCAAAGAACTTTCCCACGCTGTGTAAAATGACACAGAGCACTGTGATTGGATGGATTTCAAGCCATCCAATCACAGTGCTCTGTGTCATTTTACACAGTGGGAAAATTCTTTTGAATTTTCCCACACTGTGTAAAATGACAAAGAGCACTCTGATTGGCTTAAACCCACCAATCAGAGTGTCCTTAGCCTAATTGCAGGGCGGGGCAAGGCTTTATAAGCCTTCCCCCGCCCTGCGGAGATCAGTCTGCGCGGAGCCCTCCATGGGTGAAGATGGATTATTTTTTTGCGCTCGGGTTTTTTCTTTTTCGTCAGGTTTTTTTTTTGCGCTCGGGATTTTTTTTTTTTTTTTAGTTCGACGGTTATGATGGTTTTTTCTTTGGCCTTTTTTGGGGCTGAAAAATGAAGATTTGAGAAAAAAGAAGACGTCGAATGGTAAGTTTAATTTTATTTTACAGGTTAGTTATTTTATTCCCCCCTCACTATTTTTTAGGGTGAGAGGGGTAGGTAGGGACTTTTTATTTGGGGGGGGTGGGTGACTAGGGGCTTGGGGACCCCTAGTCACCTTGGGGGGGGGAATTTACTTATGGCCCCCACCCGCCACCCAGGGGTGGGGGCCGGGGGGGGGTGGACAGTAGGTCCCCCCCCTCATTATCAATATGGCCCCCACCCGCCGCGCAGGGGTGGGGCTGGGAGGGGCAGTAGGTCCCCCCCTCATTATCATTATGGCCCCCACCCGCCGCCTAGGGGTGGGGGCCGGGGGGTGTAGGACAGTAGGCCCCCCCCTCATTATCAATATGGCCCCCACCCGGGGGCGGAGCCTGACCACGATCGGGAGCGGACGCAACACAGCACAGCTCCCGACCAAAACCCGCATCAAAGCCTGCTGTTTGAGGCTTAAAACCCTCAACTGGCCCACTCCCGACCAGGGGCACCATTTGTACACAGCCCAGCATCCCCCCATGCCATTTGTATATCCGGCACGGGTGAACCGACGAAAGCGCAGACCCGCGGCCTACAAGCCCGCAGCAGCCCTCGACTGGTCGGCGCTCCTGGGCAGACTTGAACAACCAGGGGACCAAGAAGTGGAAGACCTCCCCACAGCACTCCCAACCACCCAGGTAGCAATGGGCCGCCGGTCCCAAAAACCTTCACCGGAGACGCCATCAGGGTCCAGGGACATAGGTACCATGCTGCAACAACGGCCGCCGGCCAAAATGGCGGGAACAGCGGAACATGATACCATACAGGTACCAAAAGACCCTATACTGCCTGACCTATCCCCAGAAAGGCCACAAACGCCCATGGGGATTCCAGATGGGTCTGCCCCAGTCACCCAGCGGGACTTTCAACACCTAATTGGGGAAATCAAAAACCTCTTGGCAACCAGCATAGCAGCCATTAAAACAGATATGAAGGCTATCGCTGACAGGGTGCAGTCCACGGAGCAGGATGTCTCTGGCATCAAGCTGGGATTAGCAACCTTACAGGACTCTGTACTGGCCCTACAGGCCCAACAACAAGCACTTTCTCTCCACTATACTGCCCTCGATGACAGGACAAGACGCAACCACATTAAGATCAGGGGAGTGCCAGACGCCATCACATCAGATGAATTGCCTCACTATTTGAGGCGCCTCGTGGCCACCATCCTGCCGCCAACGCATGCTAAAAAATTTAACACAGACGGGATGTACCGCCTACCACCCTCAGGCAGAACAACCCCAAACATGGTCAGAGATGTAATTGTACGCTGTGCCACTTCCCAAGACAAGAGAGTCCTGATGACGGCTCTTCGAGGCAAGACGCCACTAAACTTTGAGGGCGCACAGCTCCCTATTTACCAAGACCTCACCAGATCCACGCTTCAATGGCGAAGATCGCTGAACCAAGTCACCAGCACCCTCAGAGAAGCGGGAATAGAATACCACTGGAGATCTCCCAGATTCCTGGTGGTCACACATAACGGAACTGTCTATAAACTCTCCACACTTACAGAGTTCCCGGCATTCTGTCAGGCACTGGGCCTTCCAGCACCCACGCAAAACACCAACCAACGATCCACACCGGAAGCCTGACTCCCCCAAGAGCCACAGAGGCATCAACAACCAAGACACGCACTGTTCAGCTAAAGACGTGATGTTTATGATCAGTTAGCCTTGAGCCATATCCAGTTTAATTGTTCCCCCATCCAAAAAAAAAAAAAGAGCGGTCGCTCCATATCCAGTCCCCCCCCCCCTCCACCGAGGTCCTCTCGGACTAGGGTTTAGTTTTGAAGAAGGCCATAACTCTACAACCCGACAGGGTTGCATTTAAGCCCATCCCTATCATACAGCCTTCACACACTCCTGATAATGTGCCAATGCTGGTCCACACCTTCTGTGACTAACTAATGTTCACACACTGTTGTTCACCTTATATTGCAATATATGAATAAGTGTACTGTATGTTTATTGTGTTTCAAGACCCGCATGGGTACGATAAAAAAAAATAAAAAAAAATTCAATAAAAAGAGATTGACAATATGGCCCCCACCCGCCGCGCAGGGGTGGGGGCCGGGGGGGCAGTAGGTCCCCCCCCTCATTATTAATATGGCCCCCACCCGCCGCGCAGGGGTGGGGCCGGGGGGGCAGTAGGTCCCCCCCTCGTTATCATTATGGCCCCCACCCACCCCCCAGGGGTGGGGGCCGGGGGGGTAGGACAGTAGGTCCCCCCCCTCATTATCAATATGGCCCCCACCCGCCGCGCAGGGGTGGGGGCCGGGGGGGCAGTAGGTCCCCCCCCATTATCAATATGGACCCCACCCCCCGCGCAGGGGTTGGAGCGGGGGAGGACAATAGGTCTCCCCCCTTATTTTACTTTAGGGCCCCCACCCGTCGTTTAGGGGTGGGGGCCAATAGTTGTTTTTTGTTTTTTTTTACAGTGAGCAGCCATAGGCTGCTCACTGTTTAGTGGACATGCCCCTACTCGCGGTATAGCGAGTAGGGGCATTGGAGGGATTTTAATCTCCCTTGTGCTATTATGGGGGTCATATTGACCCCCATAGAGTGAGGGGGGACCTGGGGGGGGGCTTATGAATTGGTGGGGAGCACTGCTACCTGCTGCTTCTATAGTTACATATTACAAGGAGGGAGCTACGTGCCGGTAGCTCCCTCCTTGTAATAACCTGCACGAACAAACAAACACTGATACACAGATACACGGATACATAGTGTTTGTTTGTTCGGCTGATCTTTCTATTCACTCATTTGTCTGTCTGATGAATGAATGAATAGATGAAATTCCCGCTCTCATGTCCAGGTGTTTCACTGGGCATGTGAGGGAATCTCACAGTCTTTCTAGTGTGGGCTGATGACGTGTCCCACAGGGACATCATCTACCCACACAAAGATGGCGGCGCCCTGAATATAGATCGGGGCAGAAAATAAAGATTAAAAAATAGGTAATGTGGGGGGCTTAGGGGCATTTGGGGGTGACTAGGGTGTTAGTTAGATGTAGTGGAGGCCGGAGGGGGGTTAAAAAAAAAACAGGATTTGGCATGACAGTGCCGCTTTAAGGACCAAACCTCTGGAATGAAAGGGAATCATGACATGTCACACATGTCATGTGTCCTTAAGGGGTTAAGAGAGTGCTCCTAATCTGAGTTTGTTACCTGTATAAAAGACACCTGAGATCCAGAAATCTTGCTGATTGATAGGGGATCAAATACTTATTTCACTCATTAACATGCAAATCAATTTATAACTTTTTTGACATGCGTTTTTTTCTGGATTTTTGTTGTTGTTGTTCTGTCTCTCACTGTTACACCTACCCTTAAAACTATAGACTGATCATTTTTTTGTCAGTGGACAAACGTGCAAAATCAACAGGGGACAAATACTTTTTTCTCTCACTGTATATTTACTAACTCATTTATATATTTAGATATCGTAGATATTTAGAATCATGCTTTATTTTAGACTTTTTTAATTGTATATGTTTATTTTCCTCTGTTATTTCACATCCCTCTGTGCCTTTATATCTCTTTTACACACTTTTTTATTACTTATATTTTTACTTCTCTTTACTATATATTTAATATAAAGCCTCTTCACTTCAAGTCCCAGGGTTACGCTCTCTTCTTTTAGAAGAGTTCCTTGTTTCACATTCCCTCCCCTGTCGCTCCCAGTCTCCTATGCTGGTTTGCATCTGGGGTTGCTATGACGATGTGGATCATGTGGTGCTGGCTGCGACACCATATTTGTACACTCATTTTAGTTCCGGGTATCCTGGTCTCTCAAAAAAAACCTTGTTTCAGGTAGGGACAGGGTTTCCCTTCTTCCTTGTCCCCGAAAAGATCTCAACACAAGGTTCAGTTCAATTTTCTATAGTTAAAATCATTCTATCTCCAAGTCACCCGGCAGCGGCCATGTTGGTAGTCCTATAGGGTATACCGCAGGTCATCTTGGGACACTTTTTTTTTTTTTTAGAATTCTTTATTTTTGTTGTGCATTACGATAACAAAGAATGCACTCTGTACAAAGAAAAAAATTCCTACGACATGAAAAATCAGAACAAGAGAGTGTATATAAAACAGCACTTTTTAGGTTACAGGGTAAAGAAACAAAAACCAAGTGCAGATTGAGTGATACTGTAATACTGATAATAAACAAGCTGCACTGATAGTAATCTGTATAGATTAGACAGTAAGGAAACAGGAGAGATCGTATGTTAATTTAGGGTATTTCCCATGAGTGGTCCCACAATGGCAAGATGAAAAATTAGGTAAGCGATAGGAGGTAAGCATTGCAGAAGCACATTAACAACCTTAGACAAGGTATAGGGCTAAGCAATAGGAAAGAGAAGTCTCCCGCCATGCTCTAAAAAGGTAAGGAAGGAAGTGATCAGGGCTGAGAGCTCTTTTCAGCCTATGCCCTCCATGGGCAGAGCAGAGTCCTGCATAAAGGAGGGATATTGTAGGCCTATAGAGCCCACAGTAGGCAGTTCGCCATGTTTGAAGTACAAGGTCAGTGTTCCTATTGATTCTCCGTAGTCATCCCATGAATTAGTATGAGGCTGTCATAATGCCCACCTCTGTATTGCTGTGATCAAACAAGGTGGGTTCCATGTGTTCCCCTGCCCCCTTAGGGCCCTCTGGTCAGCTGGAATCAGCATCTCTTGATGAGAGCGTCATTCGAGGAAATGATCGCCCAATGGTGTTGGAGCAGGTAGGTGCAGCTCATGCTATAGCCTGTGCTCTAGTTTTTTTTCCAGAAGTCAGCAAAAATTTTATACAGCCTGGTCATGGTATCGCGTTGAGCTGCGCTGGCGCTGTCTATGCATGCAGTGTCTGCCATCTTAGACTTGCCAGCACATGGTACCTCTGCCCGTGTAGCTTCCCCTCGCACTTCAGCAATGTCGGGATAGTCTCCCACGGACAGACTGGGGGGGGTATATGGGGCACCAGGCCGCATGTTCCAGTCAGGGGCAAGCTCCTGTTGAGTCGCAGATCGCCACACTGCAGGTCTGTTATTGTGAGGGTTAAGGTGGGTGCCAGTGTTGGCCCAAATTGTGGTTCAGAAGGTGTTGATAAGCTTTTATGCTCAAAATTGTTTGGGAGCTCATGCAGAACACGGCTCACCGCCATGACGGTCAGATATCTTGATAAATGTAGTTATTGAATCAACAATTAATAGATACTTAAGTAAATCCTATCTTTTCCTCCTTTCTCTTAGACTCTCCATATTAGGCAAAAAGTTTATTACATCAACGTACTTATATCGTATCATTTATCGTTCTATATCGCAGAAAAGGAAGAAAAAAAAACAATATACATTCATTCACTAAAATAAAACCTCTCAGTCATCTTATTTTTATTTTATTGTCTCTGGTGTTTCGTGGTAAGGAGCTCCCAAGCTAGTAAATTCTGGAGGTCTCTGGAGCATTAGAGATTCTCGCAAGGAAGAAAGTTGGGTTTATATTGCAAACCATTTTAACCAGATCCTGTTGTATAATACTTTAGTCGATACATATCTTAAAGGCCAATAGTATATTTATGAAAAATATGGTATATTTATCTATAACTAGAGAGTCTAAATGTAGGAGAAAGGTCTGAGATGTTATTGAATAGAGAAAATCTCACTAGAGTTTATTTGGAATTTAGCTATACGAGTGGGAACCAAGTACCATTTATGTGCCAGCTTATAAAACTGTTCATGAAGGTTAATACAATGGACTGCTTTCCTAGTCTTATTTAAATTTAAATATTCTCACAATATCTAGGAATTGGATCATTTGGTCTATGTTAAATAGATCTCCCAATCTATTAATTCTACTGCTTTCCATGGTTTTAAATTTAAATCTGTAATATAAAGCAATATTAGTTCAATAGGAGTATGTTTGATAAAGATTTTATTAGTTATATCTCTTCCTAATTTTGTGTGCTGATAGCACAATACTCTTTATTAAATGACTCTCTAGATGTATTTTTTGTAATAGTTTAGGAGAGGACCAAAACAATAAGTATGGCTCACAGATTCCTAGTCTATGTTTTTCAATGTTATATCAACCAAGATTAGTCTTCTTCCTTCTCCTTCATGCTATCATATGGAAGAGGTGGAATGAGTCATGATAACGATATATATCTGGATATCCCAAGCTATCCTGTAATGTACTTCTCTTAAGGACTGTATTTGGGATCCTAGGTTTTTTTAGATGCCCAAACAAAGTTAGAAAATACCAAATCATTTTTTTTTTCAGAATAGAGTTTGAGACTTGGTGTGGTATAGCTCTAGACAAGTTTTGGGAGTACATAATATTTAATACACCAAGACGTCCCAACCATTAGATTTCTAGTCTCTTCCATTGAGTCAATAATATATTAATTTCCCCCCCACAGGGTTTCATAATTCATTTTAAGAGTTGCAGTATTTTACGTCTGATCTTAATTCCTAAATAATATATAGATTTTTGATGTATATCAAATTGACCAAATTCACCTATACCCTTCCTGTTCTTAAGTCATATATAATGTCAAAAATGTGAGTTTTAGAAAGATTTCATTTTTTAATTAGACAACAAGGAAAATAGATCTATTGCATCCACGAGGGCTGGAACTAAGGATCCTGGAGAAAAGAGTGAAAGTAAAACATCATCTGCATATAATAATATATGTTCTTGCTGGCCAATCTCTATACCTTTAATTTCGATGTTTTTTCTAATAAGAGCAGCTTAGGGTTCGCAGAGGTGCCAAAGGGCATCCCTGCCTTGTGCCATTTTGGATTTTGATGTGTTAGAGTCAATGTAGGGACCTCTGACTTTCGCCGTTAAGATCATGTAGAGAGCCTTTACTTGATCCAAGAATATGCCATCTATACCAAACACCTGCAGAGTCTGCAGCATGAACCCCCAATTTACTCGATCGGAAGCCTTTGTGGCATCGAGAGCCATTAAAATAGAAGGGGTTTGTTTAAGATGGATTTCCTCTAAAATGTTGAAGTTTCTGCAGGTGTTCTTTTCTCCTGATCTTCCTAGCATAAATACAGCCTGATCTGGATCAATAAGTTCATGGATCAGTCGATTAAGTCTTTGTGCTCGGATCTTAGAAAAAAGCTTAATAAATGTATTGATAACGGAAATGGGCCAATAATTGGTGACTAGTGACTTCGGATATTTCCCTGGTTTTAGAATAGGAGAAATACTGATCTCCATCATTTCTAGAGGGAAACCAGTATTTCCGCTACTTGAGTTAAACATTCTGCTTAGAAGTGTATTGATTACTGGATCGAGAATTTGAAAAAATAAAGCTGTGAATGCTGGTACTAGATTTGCACCTACCTGGATCCCTTGTTCTTCATTATCCTTGGAGTTTTTTTCTCCTCTGTTTGGCCCAATGGCTACCTGGATATTTCTTAAGAAAAGAGCAGAAAAGGTGCTGCCTGCTTTGCGACTTTTGGTTTTCTAACAGATGCATGAGGACATCCAGCGTCTCAGAAATTCCCATAGGAAAGCATTGATTCGCAATAGGCCTGGCCGGGGGGGTTGGAGGGGACATGAGGGGGAGGCAGAGGGAGGTGTTGTGTTCGGAATTTGTCAGTTCCCCACAAGCAATGTTTATTGTACTTTGTTTTCGAATTTTAATAATTTAAAATACAATTTTAAAGTTTATTATGTTTCATTCTTTATTATAACACTGTTTAAATAATGAGCATATGTAACCATGTGGTATTTGTTGTAACTAGTGTTGTGATGATGTGGGATACAGCAGTATACCATTTTACCCCACACACAAGAACTTGGGAAATATTTAGGTTTACAGAGACATTAGGGTTAGATTTTAGGGTGACGAAGACAGTTTTAGGGAGACTTAGTTTTAGAGACGCTTACAAATGATTAGGTTAGGACACTAGGGTTAGGGTGTGGTACATTTGGGGACATGTTAGGAAAACCTAAAGGATCACTACAGGCACCAACACCACTTTAGTGCACTGTGTTGGTTATGCTGACAGGAATGCCCTGGCACAGCCCCCTCCCCCCCATTGTACATAAGTCAAACAGTTTTAAAATAGTTTTATTTCTTATCAGGTGGACTGCTGGACCATTTTCTCCAGGTCGACTAACTCAGAACCAGAATCCCCTACTTAGGAATTTCCATTATCTCTCCTAAATTAAACCCTGTAATGCAGGTCTAGTTCATTAGGTGAGAGAATCATCGGATCATGCTCAGCCATTAAGATTAGTCCTGGCTTAGCTCAGCCAGAGAGTTCTCAGCCCTCTAGCTGAAAGAGTGGAGTCTGGGAGCAGCACCTGGCAGATCCCAGGTAAGAAATCAAATTGGTATACTACCAATGTCCCTTTAAAAGCAGTTTCACTACATACAATGAAATTCACCATGGCACTCCTAGCACTAAACTGTAGTGGTTACATGGAGTGTTTGTTTAAGCCTTACAAAGACAGTATAAACCACACTATAGTCCAGAGGGTGGGTTGTGTTTTGGAACCCAATCCTCTCAAATAGTAACAAATAAAGGTTTGTAGCAGATCACTGAGTGACCACTGAGATGTGGAGCTGCTGAAGCAGAGACATTACATTCGAAGCACTGCTCCTAAGCTCCTGGACAGATCTGAAGGCTGGTGGCAGACTTAAGGTTTGATGTCAGTAGAAAAATGAAGACAGCAAGCATGTAACCGTCCAGTACACATAATGCAACTCTCATAGCTAATGCCTAAACAGACTTTTACATTTATAATTATGTAATGTAATGAAATGCATGTATCGAAACTGCTGGAATACCCAAATCCTAAACTGAGAGTCATTTTCTTTTTTTTTTTTACAATTCTTTTTTTTTAACATACATGCTGATTATGCTGATTATACTACAATAGCATGGGATGGCTTTTTAGAGTGGACAAAATTGTGACATAGCATTTAGTACAATTTTTTTTTAATAAACATGAGTTATCTAATATTTATCAGTAGGTGAGTACGGCTAGTTAGTCAGTAAGTATGAGTGTACTGATATATTGCATAGTTCAGGTCGGGGGTAACTATAGCTGAGTATAAACACAGTGTTGAGGTCATAGGTTTAGTGTTGAACAGTGGTCCACCACAGGGATCAGACCGTTGAGGGTCAAAGGGGAGTTTGCGCAAAGCTTCCTGTCGTGTTGGTCCAGACATTTGGATTACTTAGTAGGGGTGTTATCATAGTGGATTCCAATGAGGAACTATTACAGGGGTGCCTTGCATTTGTGCTGAGCGTGCCTCTAACCAATGGGCTGCGGGGAGAGGGGGGGGGGGAGTATGGCAGATGTCTCGCCTGTGAGATGTGAAGGGCTGACATGTGGTCTCTGTAGCAGTCAGAGTCACCCACAGGTGGGATGGTCATCCGTCAGTGTAGAGCTCAGTGGGAACTCTGTAGAGTAATGTAGTGCATGGGCAAACAGTAAAATATTAATAATATAACACAACTAAAGAGAAACCATATGAGAAAAAGAACTAAAAACAATAGGTCATTAGAGTTGCAAGTTACTGCCTTTCTTATATAGGCTAGACTTGAACATCTTTGTTGCCAGCTGCGTTCAGGTGCCTAGTTGCCTCTCAAAGGATGTGATGGTAGATGGATCCCATATCCTGCCAGGGGCAGTTGTTTCTGGGCCAGTCAGTGGTTTTGCCAGTCCCAGTGAGGTGGGACTGCCAATGAGGTGAGTGAGTGAGTAGTTCTGTTGTGGGTTACTTGTAGTGTGCCCGGTATACCCCATCAGTAAGCCATGCCTGCAGATCTAAATTGTTGCGTGACTGGCGTTAGCGACTTGCGCCATTGTAGGGTCGTTTTAGTGAGATCTTGATAGAAGGTCAATTGTGCTTCTTCTAATGATAGTGGTGTCTTGCCTCCTAGGGCTGTCATGATCTGCCCCTTTTCTTGTACCGAGGTGCATCTTAAGATGATGTCTCTGGCGGTGTGCGGTGATGGTCTGGTGGGATCCGGGATTCTGTATACCCTATCTAGCATGATTTTCTTTGCCATTGCTAGGGGCAATATTGACGCCAGCAGTCTCCGCACAAAGTGTGGCAACTCCTCTGCCGAAAAGGCTGTCGGGATGCCTCTGATTTTGACGTTGTTACATCTGTACCGGTCTTCCATGGCAGTC